CTGTATTAGTCTTCTGATCTCTGAAAAATAAAATTGGTTCCAACCTAAAAACAAAATTGTAAATATAAAATAACACTGTATTTATACTCTCATCCCAGCCATCATCATTATTATTATTATTATTATGCCATGTACCACTAATAAAACAATGACATGATAGCCAGTGATGTCTCACTTGGCAATGCCATTAGATGATTAAGAGACCAAGGATGTGGCACTTTTGTTGTACTGCAAAATACTCAAAAACCATTACATTATAATTGAAAATTGATGGGTCTTTAAACACAAAGCTGTCCATTCCAGTAAGGCAGAGGAAACTTTAAAAATACAGTTGTATTTCTACACACTGGGTAGTGTCTGGCAAACTTTTTCTATAGAGTCAGATGGTAAAGATTTTAGGTTTTGTGGGTTATATGATCTCTGCCACGACTCCTCAACTCTGCTGTTGTTAACAGGAAAGCAGCAGTAGGCAATATATAAACAAATGGGTATGGCTGTGTTCTAATAAAACTTTATTTGCCAGATTTGGCCCATGGACTATAGTTGGCTAACCCTCTTTTACGGATATAGGGTACATGGGCACATTAAATATGCCTCCATATCTATATATGTAAGTGGGAGTATATATGCGTATTAGCACAGCAAATCTCTGTTTGCCTGTCCCCATAGTCATGGCAGTTTCACAGGCACATGATCAGTGGAGTCACACAGGTGGTATTTAGAAGGGTCCTGCACTTAAAACTTAAAGCTCTATGGTCAATGTCATGAAATTCTTAATGATTCTATCTTGGAATTTGTGTTTTGTAAGTACAGTCTGAGGGACCCATGAAGCTTGTTGTTGTCTTTCCACTGCCTCACTGCAGGCTTGGAGAAGTTCTCAGAAATGGGTTCCCCTCCAGTTTCCTCGTTCCTGACCCTGCCTTGCTACTGTTGCTGCCTTCCACCCAGGGTGGGACCAGGTCATGTCAACAGGAGAGGTGTGTGTTCTGCTGTTGTCCTTTGCTTCAGGCAGGATCCTGGATGTGAGTCTAGGGAAGGTTGGGTTGATTGTACTTATCCCTGGCCTCTCAGGGCAGGACACAGGAGGTGACCATCCCTGCCTCAAGCTGGCAGCACCACAGCACATTCAGTGGACTCAGTGTGGAGCCTCTTGTCCTCCCTGATCCAAGTACCAAGTGTGTTCCGTTGTGGAGGTTGCAATCTCTTGGGGATTGCCTGTCTGACTGCTTTGGGATGGGGGAGAATGATCCCCCTACTTCATGCTGGGGCATAGTATGTGCCCCCCCCAGTCATGGGGCACCTGTGGGATCTGCACTCCCCCATAAATATGCATGTGCTGGAAGAGGCCTGACACCAAAAAGCAAATAAAAAACATTACAACCCATCTGGGGTTGTGGGGACAGCCAGACAGACTGAGGAAGGAAAAAGTTTTATATTTTAGGACCTTTAACATCATTTCTTTCCTGATTTCTGAACAAAGAGTCTCATATTTTCATTTTGCCCTGGGCCCTGATCAAAGGTTAGGGGCTATGAAGAATTATCTTCTGAGATTAGTCTACCAAAATGGGGGTTGACAAAGAAAATGCCACTTATGCATCAGTCATTTTTGGTTGGTTAATCCTTGTAATGCCAGGGCTTCCTGCAGCATTTCTAAATCTTAAATATAAGGCTCTGACATTAATTATGCATTTGGGGTTTCAGATTCTAAGGAGGTCCTTTTGGGATATAATGATCGGGAATGCTGCATGGTAGCCACTTCCCTCAAATAATTTGCTACAGGATTAATTCATATTTCTTTAGAATGGTGATGAGGTATTTTATGCATATAAAGCACAATCAAAACATTGCATATGAAATTTAATAGACAACAACAAAGGAAGATGAAATTTCACTAAGATTTCCCTTTATTTCCTATTAAAAAGAGTAATGTCAGAGCATTTTAATATACAAAAACATATCTGTTTTTCTGATTTGAATAAGCCAACAGTAAAACAAAGGTTTTTGAGACAAAGAAATTTGAATATAGGCTAGGCATCTGTGATGTTAAAGAATTATCGTTAATATTGTTAGGTATGATAATGACATAGTAATTGCATAAAAATATCCCTCATGGATCCACATGGGTATTTATGGGTGAAATAATATAATGTCTGAAATTTTTTTTAAATAATTCTTCAAAAGGAGAAGCAGGAGTGGAGGAAGAAGACAGATAAGAAGAGGAAGAGGAAGATGAAGAAGAGAAGATGGAGAAGAAAAAGATGACAAAGAAGATATAGAGGGTGACAGCTGAAGACAGAGGAGTTGAGAGGGAAAAAATGTGATAGATGGAATGGGATTGGCAAAATGATGAACATAGGTGATAGAAATGTGGGGCTTCATGATAATATTCTCTTTATTCTCATGTATGTTTTTAAATTCCCATGATGGAGTGTGTGTGTGTGTGTATGTACCTACTGCCTACAAAAAAAATTAATAAAAATCAAGTCACAGATTTCACATTATCCTCCATTCCGAGTGCTTTTTTTTTTTTTTTTTTTTTTTTTTGGTGCAAGAAGCATCCTCTGAGGCTGACAGGAGTTCTCTAAACTGAAAAGATACAAAGGAGTTGATGGGAAGGATAATCCGCCCATCGGTTCTTGACACAGTATAAAGAAGAAAAGAAGAAAGTGGGTGGAAGAGACTGTCATTGTTACTCTCCTGACCTTCCCTTCTAATTATGCCAGAGTCAAGGCTCAGGTCATGGGGAAAATTATTTTGGTGGTCAACCATTTGCCCTATTTTGTATACATCAAAAAAGCTCTTGTTCTCACCACATTCCAATCTCACAGTTTCCCACCTACTTTAAAAATATATCAACTGGTCATATTAAATAAAATATGAATAAAATGGCTATATTATGAAGAACACCTTGTTTGCAAACCAAGAGATAACCTTCTTGTAATGCTGAATTTTTAAAGTGATATATAACACTTTAAAATTAATATACTTTATATTATTGTAGGCATTTCAGATAAATGCTCAACATGCCCAGCTTTTAAAAGTTAAATGTAAATTTCTCTCTTGAGTGCAGATGGTGGCCAAGCAAAGTAGCTCTCTGGTCTTACAGACAGAAGGTCAGGTCATGGCTGAAAGACCAAAGAACAATTGCTTCTTTGCTACTCCAAATCATCCATGGAATGAGACACCACTACTCTCTTTTCTGAAACTGTCTGTTCAATACAAAAGAGTTACAAAAAGTACCTATAAGATTTCCTCACATTCTGTCCAAGAAAAAATGGTAACAAGCACATCACATCACAAACATCTTGTAACTGCTCAGAGGTTTTATTCCTAAACTATGATCTCCTTAAAAAGTGCATCTCTATCTAAAAACTAATCACTAAAAATTATTATGATAATTATTAATGATTCACTGTTATAAGGAAATGTTTACAAATGAAAATTTCCTTTAAAATTTTGCAACTTTAGCTTCCATACAATTAGAGGTTAATTAAAATGAGATACAGTGCTAAAAGAAAAATATTGCAAATACTTCGAAACCAGTTCACTTACGAGTGATATTATACTCTACTTTTTTTCTATAATTTTTTCCTCTAGAATATTATTATGGAATTTTAAATAATTCAGAGTCTCTTTCCTACTTTTTTTTTATAGTTAGTCCAAACTATTATGCTGGCAGAATGCTATAGAATAACATAAAAGGGATATAATAATGCTAGTGAGCATGCCAGTATGATACCTTTTTTAAAAAATTGTAATGTATCAGGAAAAGAAAGTTATCTGTGATTGACTTAGTAATGCAAGCCTTCAGTCCCTGATAGAAAGAATTTTCCATTCCACTATCAGGCACGCCCCCAACTGGATGAAATAAAATAGTTTCATTATTTGCACATGTTAATAATGAAAAATCTTCTAAAAATTTAAAACTTACTATAATGTTTTGAATATAGTGATACAAAAGCAAAATTTTACTTTGGCTGTCAGGATTTTAATTTAGTACTCAGGATTTCATTTATGACTTAAAAAACTTTTTGTACTAAATTTCATATTACTTTCATTTTCAATACTTTTTCCAATTGTCTTTGCATCATTTGTCATAAAGAGTTGAGTGGGTTGAAAGGGAAAATACGTTGGAAAATACAATAAAAAGCCTTGAACTAGAAATATATTTGAAAAAATATTTACTTGGAGTTACCTACTTCTAAATTCTAAAGTGATTTCTTTAAAATATTGACACTACAAATTCAGTGTTACTATTTTAATTGAATTAGAGTAAACAATCTGCTTTCACTGAAGATAGAGAATGCAAGCCTTCAAGGTCCTGTACTGTAAGGTAAAAATAGAAATATCAAAAGTCAGTCTATGGGGACTGCCACTCTAAAAACTTTATCCATGTTGTCAATTAAAACTGAAGTATCTACTTGATCTCAACAAATATATAAAACATCTGCTCAAACTGAAATTGAAGTAAGCAGCTTTTCTCCCCCAAACATTTCTAATGTCACTGTATTTAGGCTTCGTGAGCAAACGTATTCATGGTTATCTTAGTTAACACTGGTTTCACTCTGCCAACAATCAATTTGATTGACATATTTACATATCAACTCATCTCATCTTACGAATTTTAAACTTTTTCATTTAAAATTGGATTCAAGTTGGCATCTTTCAAGAACTTCATGTATGTATATTTTAGGTTCAAACTGTGCATTAGAACATTTTTTTTACTTTTGTAAGTAATAGATCCACATATCCAAATGTATATTTATGACCTGTCAGACTGGAATTTTATATGCATGCTGTTGTATTCTCACCACTTCATGTGAAAGGTGATAATTTTAGGCAACTATAAATGAAATTCTTTTAATAGTATAAACTGGATCATTCCATTAGTTAGAAACAATATAATGAAAATAAGTAACTTAGGAATAAAACTACATTAACTTCAGAAAGAATGTCAGTTATACTTTTAATCGCAGCAGTTTTGCCTGTGTATCTCTTACCTGATCTTTAATTTCAAGATCCCTGTTAGTTTTTGCTCTGTACTCTCTGTGCTCCTTTTCTGCCTCATCCTTCTCCATTTGGGTTTTATTCAGCTGGTAGCGCATTTCTCCACACACCTGTTAGATTGTAAAAACTAGATCAATAGCTGCTGCAATCTACCAGGCAATGCCTACAATTAGATCTTTTGGTGCCCCCTGGAGGTAAGATAGATAAAATACAATAGAGCTTTTCTAAGAATGGCATTTTCCATTAGAATATTCAATTCAGCCAGTTAAGATTCGGAAGCAACATCAGGGATTATTGAGCCTAAGTCTCAAATTAGAGATAAGAAATGCATATAACTGAGAAATTTAAGTAATGTGCCCAAGATTATTTTATGTAAAATAATAGTTTCAATTGCATATTATCATCTAAATTTTAACCAAGTAAAAATAGTAATTAAAATATTAAGCTATGTTATTATTCATTCAAACTGCTATGGTTAAATGTTCACTCTACATTATAAAATTTCCCTTTAAGAATTTCATCAGATAAGCTTTTATTTAAGGTAATTTATGTAGGAATTTTCCTCTCGGCTAATAGACATGTTATCAATATTTAGGTTTATAATACCTACTATTTACTGTAAGTTTTATAGATAATATGACTCTTATCATGCACAATTCTATCTATGCAAGTTAAGGAAGATTTTTCTGGCAAAATTTATAGACTGGAACTAAGCATGCTCTGCACTTATAACTGTAACATTTAATATAAAAGGAAAATACGCTTTGAAGTGAAATAATTTTAATATATCATTAAATAATAAATATACATAGTATCATAAAAGGGATGTATATCATCCTTTGTACTTGACATTAAGAACTTTGTTTTATTTTATTTTTTCCAATCCAGGGCCACTACAGATATAGAAATACATTTGGAAAATGTAGTTAGCAGATAAATCTAAACAAGGAAAAATTATGGGCTTTTTGAGATAACAATCTATAAATGGATCAATTAATAAACAAGTCTGCTAAGTCTTCTTCTAATTTAAAAATTCAAGTTTTTAAAAAATCATATATTATCTAATGGTTTTATTTGCTTAAAACATTTTAATTTTGGTATTGCTCCAAAAGTACCAATTTTGGAAACATTAAAAATTAGCTTTATTATTACTGAGCTATTAGAATATACTAAGGTATAAAACCAATATGGCATTTAAGCCAGGCATGGTAGTGTTTGCATGTGGTCCCAGCTACTGCAGAAGCTGAGGCAGGAGAACTGCTTGAGCCCAGGAATGTGAGGCTGTAGGCCTCTTGTAATCATGCTTGTGAATAGCTATGCACTATGCACTGCAGCCTGGGCAAGATAGTGAGATCCTATCTCTAAAAAAAACAAACAAATAATCAAAACTGAACCTAAAAAATACTTTAAAAATAAATTAATCTGGGGTTAAAGATATAGTGACAAGCCAGAAGAAAAAGTTAATAAGCTTCTCCCCAGTGACTGTATGAGAAAGCTAGAACAAGAATGAAATTACTAAAAATTCTACTTGAAATTCAAATACCTTCAATGTGTGAGTTGATTATTCTCATTTCAAAAAATTATAAATTTACAAAAGCTATTGTTTTAAGCTAAATGCAATTTAAAAATTTAGAATGACTGAGAAAAAAATGAGAGGAAACCTAATTTATTTTCTTTCTTAATTCTTCAAGATACTAATCTATTTATATCTATGAATAAGTTAGAAAAAATTCAAATTGATAATATCAGAAAATAATAATTATGTAACTATGATGTTTAAAATCCAACACCAATACAAATTTATTACATAACAAATGTCTGGAACATCAGGTTCTATTTAAAATTATTTTATTCCTTAATTTTACTTTTATAGTTCCTTTGCCTTACTATTTCAGTTTAGTACTTCCTAAGTTTATCCATACCACTGAAGTTCCATTTAAAATAAATTAACCAATTAAATTGAATTAGAATTATATTGTCTCAGGGTTGGAAGTAATCTCAAGTTCATTTAATCTAATCACTCGTATCATGCTTCAATTCTTTTGGATAGTTCCAGAGACAAAGAACACATTCTTTACCATACCACATTTCAACAAAAAGTTTTCTCCCTATAATAAATTGAAATTATCTCACCATAGCTTTCAATCATAAATCTAAGTTAAGCATCCCTCTGCACTTATTCCCTTACTTCCTGTCCTATCTCCACACAAACACATCAGGTATATTGGCAAATATGAACTGCTTAAAATTCTACATTAGCTAGCTCAAATTTTAGAAAGCAAATGGAGAATTATGGAAATTCAAGAAAAAAGAGAAAAATTGCTTCTTTTCCTACTATATAAGTTAAAATTAATTTTTATTAGTGAATGATAGAGTAAAAATGGCATTAAAATGTGTGAAAATTGAGGAAAATATATTGAGGAGTAAAAACTAATATAGAATAGGTATATGTTAATATTTTAATCAAATTATCTGTATATAGTGGTGAAAAATAAATTGATTTTATTTATTACATTAGGCATGCCCATAGTTCCTTAGTTTTAAAGCAATTGATCATTGAAACCTAGATGGACTTCTAGTATTTCTTAAAATATGTACCTTACTTATTAACCATCCTAGTAAAGACCATTAATCGTTTTAGCTCTTGATTCACAAGTTAGTGATGACCACAGCACAGACAATGCAGTATTTTAAAGAATAAATGTAAGCAGCAATAAAATAAGACCTTGTAGAATTAGAATCTTTATTTTAGTAACTTAAGTCTGAAAAGGAATGGGAGGTGGAGAATTTTTTTGTGGTAAGCATACTTTTCAAGTTGCAAATCTGTGTCTTTGACAATTATTATGAAGCCTAACCCTATGCTATCTATGGCAAAAAAAATCACTCTTAATTAACTAATTTACAAATACAAGCTTTATCAAATATTCAGTGATTAAAGTAATGTTAACTCTAATTTACAGGTCTGTCTTTGCCACTTAACCCTTAAGCTCTTCAAAGACATTATTTGTGTCTGATTCATCTTTGTATTTGCAGTACCCAGCAAAGGGCCTGCATATGGTAAGTGAATGGTTGTTGAATGACCATTAGGTAGACTTTTATTATTCTTGAAATAACAAAACTTTTGTATGCCAAACTTCCTCCTGATAATAGTAAGAGCTGTACATTGAAATATTTTTCAAAAACAATATTTATTTAAGTAACAATTAAACTAAAATCTCTTTTTCTACCTTTGAGACATCCATTTCCTGAGAAGCAAGCTGTTTTTGAATTTCCTCTAGCTGATTAACAGCTGAGATCTTCTCCCTTGTAACTTTTTCCACCTGGGCCTCCAGTTGGGCAATATTCTCAGACAGGATCAACATCTATAAAAGGAAATAAAAGTCCTAAACAATAATGCCATTTGACAAAATAAATATTAAATATTTCTTGAATTAACAGATTCTCAGTATAGTCACTGGGCTCCATCTGGAAGTCATTTCTCTATGGATTGGGTATGTCTGTTTCTCCACCTCTTTGATTCATCTATCCCTTATGACTTGAAATATGTACTTACCTCCTCTTTATTCCCCTGGTCTCTAACTTCATTTTGGAAAATGTATGACAAGATGATAAAATGAAAGTTTTGGTTGAAAGTCTAAGGTGACAGATATCAGATACCTAAGTAAGTTATGGAACGGACTGCCATAAATAAATTTCAGAGGCAGTGTGAAGGAATCACACAACTCTTAAACCTTCTCCCACATGGAGGGCATACAAGGATTGACTGGAAGAGTTAGAAAGATATGTTTAGAGGAAGCTACTGGTCTGGTACGACTCCCACTCCCCTTCTCCTAACACCAACAAAGAGGAGGCTCTGTGCAGTTCCCTTTTGTTGGCAAAATCCCAATTGCCTTCCCATTATCTAGCTCTCCCCTATTTCTCCCATAGGATTCAGCTCAGCCATTATCTCCCTCCTCCAGGAAGTCTTCCTTGACTTCCACTCCCTAGCACAAAATAGGTATCCCTTCACATACTCAGAGTTAATATTCAGCTATTGCCTGCTGGGACAGGCCTGCCTGTTGTTTGTAGCCCTCATCCATTCCCATTGATTGTTGCTCATGCTGTATTGATTGCTTAATATTTTGAATACCACTCTGGCATGTGCTCCCATAACAACCTCAGTTCACATACCATCGTCACACCCCAACCTCTACATACTTCTGTCACGATACGTATCCAGCTGTGTTTAGTTGTCTCTTTGTTTCCTCATTAGACTAGAAGTTCTTCAAGGGCATGTTCCTCAAGAAGTATCAAATATTTGATGAATGAATGAATAATTAGAATAAATGGCTTTTCTGAGGAACTCTAAGGATATGAGGTTCTTAGTTTTCCTTCTCAGGATTAGAAATGCTTTCTGGATCTTAGCCTTATCTTTTATAGTTTTTTGTTTGCACTCTTGTTTTGCTCTGCTCTGACAAAGTCAAACTTTTCTAGGCTCTTACTCTTTTACTGGGCAATTTTACAATGAGGAAGTGCTACCTTAACCCAGAGCAAAACATACAGGAATATCTATCAGTTTTTATCTGTTAAAACAAGAACTGGTAACAAATTTCAAATAATGATGTTTGAAATTTACCATTGTACACTGACATGTGTGTGAACTCAGTTTTATAACTGAAATCAGTAACTAAAATTTTATGATAAAAATAAACATTGACCCAAAGTTTTGGTAAATCAAGAACCTTACATCACTAAAACCAAGATAAGTGTCTGCCTTTGAATTATATAACTAGCTAAAGTTGACCCAGATGAAAATAATGAGACCAGGTAGCTATTTTCTAATTTAGGCAAGCACAATAGTTAACTTTTCTGAAGATTGTAGAGAATTGTATGTTTGACTTATGGTTGTTTACATGTCCTTATTATTAAAAGATTGTCTACAAATCTAATTTGCACATAAAATTAGTTTTACTAATAAACAACAAAGTTTCCTTGTGCACATTATAATCTGAACCTAAAACTAATGGTCAAAAAAAGTTAAACATAAAAAAAATAAAAAATGTTAATTGAACTTCCTGAATTTAAAAATTCAAGTTCCTGAGTATACGTATTATGAATGTATAATTATAGCTCTCCTGGAACCATACAGCAGCAACAAACTTTAATTACCAGCTACTAAAATTCAAATATTATTTATGTAGAGATATATCTGATGGTAAATATTAACATTGTATGGTTTTTGAAGTAAATATGCAAACATTTACTTTGATAATTGCAAATTCTAGTCCATTTCTATTATAAGGCATGTAACAAATCTCTCCCCTTCCTTATGTTTCCTTCCCTCTGCCACCCATCACTTCCTTCCTTTGCCCACTACCTGTCTGCTACCTCCTGTCACCCACTTTCTGAGGTCTCCCCCCTGTTGTCACACCTTCTTTTTCCCCACGCCCACCATCTGGAAGTCAACATTACACTGCAGGAGCTTCTCCATCCACATCTGTTGCAGAGCCAGAAGTAACACAGACACAGCTGCAACACGGCTGGATGTCCAGGACGTTGACATCAGGTAAGTCCTTTAAACTTTGACAGGGGCAAGAGGAGACAAGGACACCCAGGTTGGGAGAACTCGATAGAAATTTCTGCAGCACAGTCCCTAGTGTTTTGAACATAGTATGAAGCAGTACTACCTATACAAGACATATGAGAATTAAGGATTCTAGCAAAGGGCGATTATCAAGGAAAGCAACTGAGAAAATGTGTGGCCCACAGGGGAGCTGAATAAATATATGATAGATGACCGAATGAACTAACAAACCTGAATGACTCAGTGCGACCCAGGACCATTACTGAAGACAGCAAACAAACTCACAGCAAGTACTGTTCATGAGGGAATGATTCAAACCTGTCTAGGTAGAAGGCATCTGCTCTCCTACAGCTTCCCACACAAACTGAATTTTTTAAAAACAGAAAGAAAGGAAAGAAAAAAATATATAATAAGAAAGAAAGAAAATCTGTAAGTCTCACAAGAATTCCAACTGATAGGAAAGCTGGGATGCTTGCTCTAGTACTCATAATGTTGTGCCTAATTGGTCAGTCTCCCTACCAGATTGGGTCCTTGTGCTAGGCAGTGTGATATGCATTATCTCTTTAAATCCCTTTGGAGGAAAAATTATATTGAATCAATTTTCAGCTGAAAAAACGAGATTCAGAAAACTAAGTAACTTGCCCAAGTTCAAGCTGAGCTTTATAGTCAAGCCTATCTGCCTTGAAGGTCCAAGAAATCTAACCAGTGAAAATACTTCTTTCTTTCTCTAAAATAATAATGATAATAGCCACAGGCTAAAATTTATTAAATGCTTACAGTAAGCCAGGCATTATATTAGGTACTTTAAAAACATTATCTAATTTAATCCTATCTATTAATTTAATTAATACTAATTTAATCTGCATTAATTTAATTTAATCTTTATTCTGTACCTCTCTGAAATTTAGAGGTTAAGTGAATTGTTTAAGGTCACAGAAAGGTCAAGTTGGAGTCAAACCTAAACCCTTTTACTCCAAAGCCACTCACCTCCATTTCCTGGTGAGAGCACTTGGCTCAGTGCTAGGACCACAGCAGCTCTTTATTCAGACATCTTTATTTAGGTCAGGACTTTGAGATCAAATGTCAGCCAAGGCTTACTGGAGACAAAATAAACTTAAATGACTAAGACTCAGAAATGCACTGTATTTCCAGTGCCACCTTGGTTCATAAAATGCCTTCAGTATAAGAGAAGGATCTATTACATATGAAAGTACCTTAAATACTGCCAGACACATTTCAGTCTTCCTCTTTCCTTTCTTATCATGAATTCTCATCAACATACTTTATTTGATAGAACTACTCAGCAAGGCAAATGGTTTCCACTGAACAAACCAGAAATAAAAATCTCCTAGGTGTGAACAATAGCTGGTCTTTGCTATTGACACCACTCTCTGTCTATCACATACAACACTCAGCTCACGACTTCATGTTCCTCTATGCCTTGTTCATGTTGGTTGTAGGCAGTTATACCCTGCATTTCTCAGTCCTACCTATTCTTCCAAACTCAGTTAAAATGCCATCTTCTTCACAAAGCCTTCCCTGAGCTCTTGCAGATAGGCAATCAGTTCTGATCCTCTGAACTCCCAGCAATTTAGTCATATCTTTCCAATAGCACAGAGACTTTTTTCTTTTCCTTGTATTTTATTCATTCATCAAATATATATTTAGCACATTTTATGTGAGAGGAATGTACCAAGCAATAAGGAGGTTAACAGACCATACAAGCAAGGAACTCATATTGAATTAGGGGAAGCAAACTATTCAACAAGCATCTCCAATAAACTGAGTTATGGGAGACCACAGGGCAGGATCCCAATTCAACTGTGGGAGGCTCTGAGAGGAGGTGGTATCAAGAACTCTGAAGGATCAGAGAGGGCAGAGGAAGATCCCTCTGGGAGTGGTGGGGGGGCAAAGCACACACAATATCCCGAAATGAAAGGACAGTAAGGCAGATTGACATGTCTGCATGCTTGAGGAAGCACAAATTGGTCCATCCATATGGTGGGGGTGCAAGGAAGAAAAACAAAGGGAGGTTAAAACTGGTGCGCCTAAGAGAGGAAGAGTGTTGTAGAATCTTTATGCTGTGCTAAGGGATCCTACATTCCATCCAAGATTACAGGCAGACATAAAGGATTTTAAAGCAAGAGACTGGCATTGTAGAAAGACCATCCTGCCTGTGGTTTAGAGAACAGAGAGCAAGGAGGCAAGACTGGAGGCAAGGACACCACAGAGGCTGTAGAAATCATCACAGTTGAGATATGGATAGCATGGGATGGAGAAACAGGGAAATGTAAAATGCTTAGTGGCCTAAATCTCTAGAACTTGTTGACAATGAGATGTGTGGAGTGAAGGAGAGGAAGGAGAAAAGGATGACACGATTTTTGTGTTAGACAACTGGATGAGTAGTGAGTCCACAGGAATAGGGAAGATGGAAAGTAAAGCTGGTTTGGGAGCTCAGCAGATAAAGATTTAGGAATCAATACCATATATATGAAATTAAAGCCAGAGTAGTGCTAAAGACACCTAAATCTATAGCATTATGCTAAACTCTAGAACTTTCTATCAAGCTGCTTTCTGGATGTGCTCATTCATTGTCCTAAAGGCACTTTAAATTCATAGTAACCTACAAGGCACACATCATCATTCTCCCAAATCAAGAATACAGATTCAAAGAAATCAAGGAAAGAGAACATTTTAAGGAGAATAAGAACTAAAAGAATTCATTAAATATAGCACAAGCAGGTCTTCAGTCAACATAGCAGTAGTAATTTCATTGGCTGTGGGCATAGAAGCTGAAATGCAGTGGGCTAAAGAGTAAATGGGCTGTGACAAATAGAGATATGTATGGACAAGTCCTTCAAGAAACTTGACCATTAAGAGAAAGTGAAGCAGCAACCTTGGGTGCACATTGGAAGCACCTGGGAAACTTTAAAAAGTACTGGATCCTACTCTCAGACATTTTGATGTAATTGGTTTGGGGTGCAGTCTGGGCAATGAGATTTTAAGAACTTCTTATGTAACTAAGATTGAGAACCACTAGATCAGTAGAAAGATTGGGGATAAAGTGGTATGGTAGAGAATTTGAGAAGAATAAAGTGATTTGAAATAGTCTTTGGAAAATGGGTCCAAGATACTATCACTTCCCACCTGGACAACTGTAATTACCTCCCACCTGATCTCCAGGCATCTATTCTGGTTCTCCTTCCAATCTATTGAAAAAATGATTTTTCTCAAATATAAATGGCATCATGACACTGTCCAATTTAAAGTCATTCAATACCTTTCCATCGCTTTTTGGATAAAATTTAAAATCCTTCACATAGATTTTTAAGGCCATTCCTAATTTGGTCCCAGCATACTTCTCCAAACTCATCTCCCTCAGTACTCTGTCCCTCATTCTCTATGCTCCAGCCATTGGGTCTTCTCTGTATTCCTAGAAAGTATACTATGATGTTTTCCAGCTTCAGAGTCTGGGTGTTTTGTTTTCCTGGGCCTCTCTTCCCCTCAACTCTTCACTTGACCACTCCTTCTCAGTCCTTTCAGGTCTCATTTTTCAAATCTCTTTCTCAGGAAAGTCTTTCATGACTGGCTAGACTAGGTCCAACTCCCCTGTTCCACATTCTCATGGTACCCTATACTGAACCTTTATGGTTTTATCACAGTGATAATTAAAAACTCATTTATGGCCGGGCGCGGTGGCTCACGCCTGTAATCCTAGCTCTCTGGGAGGCCGAGGCGGGCGGATTGCTCAAGGTCAGGAGTTCAAAACCAGCCTGAGCAAGAGCGAGACCCCGTCTCTACTATAAATAGAAAGAAATTAATTGGCCAACTGATATGTATATAAAAAATTAGCTGGGCATGGTGGCTCATGCCTGTAGTCCCAGCTACTTGGGAGGCTGAGGCAGAAGGATCGCTCAAGCCCAGGAGTTTGAGGTTGCTGTGAGCGAGGCTGACGCCACGGCACTCACTCTAGCCTGGACAACAAAGCGAGACTCTGTCTCAAAAACAAAACAAACAAAAAAAAAACTCATTTATGAAAATATCTGTTCAATGTCTGCCTTTCCTACGAGTCTGTAAGCTTTATGAGGGAATTGCAGTGGTCCTGTGACTACTGCATTCCAAATCCCTCCAATTAATAACTGTTGAGTGCTGAATGAACGGGAGAGGGCGCAATGGATAGGAGGACTGCCGGAAAGCACTGGAAGAACACAGCCACGGAAGGCCCTGAGAGTACAGCAGTGCCAGCTGCAAGGCTGTGGGATTTTCACTAGCTGAGATCAGCAAGCCAGGGCAGAGAAGGTAAGCAATAGGCTGAACTACAGTAGAGTTTTGACAGACACAATTTTTTAAAAAGGGTAAGAAGACAAGGGAGTTTATAGTAAATGACTCAGTTTACCCATAAGACTCAAAACACACTGGGCAGAAGTTGTGATTTTTCTCTTTATATATCCTTACACCTGCACATTGCCTTGCACACAGCAGATACTCAGTGGATATTTGTGGAATGAGTTAATTATCACATATTGGAATATTATAACAACACAGCATTTGGAGTACAAGCTATGAGTCAACTTCCTAAAGAAAACATGTGACACAGTCGTTTTGATTACTTCATGGACCACATCTTGCTTAATTTTACTTTATTTGCAAATTTAAAGTGAGGTTCCACTAACTCTATATTCCAGTGTGTTACTGTTTTTTCAAACCCTACCCATTTCATATTATCTGTTCCTTTTGCCTTTAATTTCTCTCTTCATCCGGCTGTAGTCACCATGTATTCACCATGTAATCTGTCAGAATTGACTTCATACAGAGTATATCATTATTAATTTATTGTTGTTGTTACTTGGTTTCTTATCAGTGTTTTAACTTCTGCATGCTTAATTTGGGGGTGGGAGCCTGAGCAACATAGTGAGGCCCCGTCTCTACAAAAAATAGAAAAATTAGCCAGGTGTAGTGAAACACACTTGTAGCCCCAGCTGCTCGGGACGCTGCAGTGAGCTATTTTCATACTACTGTACTCTAGATCAGGTGTCAGAGCAAGATCCTGTCTCAAAAAAAAATTGGGTGATAGGGGATAAAGTTAGGGTGTTATCGCTTCTGATTTAGCCAAGGTTTAAATAAAATCTAGGTATCTTTAGAGTATCTGCTCTCCTCCGGTAAATGTTGAGGAGAGAGAAACTAACAGAAAGGCAGGATTAAAGTAAATTTCACAGTTTCATAATGTGGAATCTAATTGACTATTTTATTTGAAAAGGTCAGAGAATAAACTCATTGAGAAATATATGGATAAAATAGAATATTTTTGCAAACTCCAAACTGTAACAAATTCGGCTACTAATAATAAAGGTTTTAAAATTTAAAGTTAATTCGAGAACTACAGCTTATAGAATCATTAATGATATCATAATAAACAGTTCTTCTGCACTGTGGATAAAAGCAGAATCCTTAAGTACCTTTGATCCCATGTCTTCCCTTTCTTTTGTTATTTCTTTTCTCATCATCTCTTTTGCAAAGGCCCTTTTCTCTTGCTGAGATGCAAGTTCTTTTTCAAGTCGCTCTCTCTGCCTCTCCAGCTCACTCTTCAACTGCTCACACTGGATTAAAGCCTGCCAGAATAAAACAGAATAAAAGGGGAGTTTAGAATTTAGAAAAAACAAGGGAAAATTACATAATCAAGCTTTAATTTTATTTAAAATAGTTAAAACTCACTATTAAGCCCATTCGAATAATTTTGTATTTATTTATCAATACAACTTACTCATCTAAAATAGTATCTAAATGTTACATTTATTTGCATATTTCAATTTTTATAATTAAGGCTACATTAGCTAATCAACTATAAAAGTCAGGTAATGAACCTTAATAAGGGCCACAGATGAGTCAGAATTTTGTAAAAGGGGATCAGAAAAACCAAGTGCTTTAGTATTTTCAATTATATAGCATATTTATACTACAGGAAATACATAAGTACCTGATTTAACTAATTTTTTATTTGCTCGTGGTTAAAAATTATTTGAATACTTTAAATGATAAACAGATCAAAATTTTAAAATGAAATGTGGAATATATCATTACATATAGGCATCATTGTTTAGTACTATACAATAATCATATGTCCTTAAATATAAGTAAAATAAGATTTAGTTCATTCCTCTTACAAAGTAAAGTAAAAATTATATAATAATCAAAAGTTAAAATAAGGAAAGACTCAAAACAGAATTCACCTAGTTTTATGAGGATTATCATCCTCTAGTTCTAGTAAAAGTCCATAATTGTCCTTTAGTCTAAAATTTCCCACTCTGCATTTCCAGAAATAAAACCTCTCTAAGTTCCTTTTGGCCACATTTACAATATCTTTATTCATGATACCCAATAATAAAATTTGACTTCAAAACCTTAATTTTTAAATTCCAAATAAAATTAAGGTGCTGTGGTATCTTAGTCTTTTCCCAGTGGCTTTTATCTACAATATCCACCTTACCCATCCTCTCTTTTCCTCTGAATTCGTAGAAAGGAACCAAAGCCTTAGATGACTTACATCCTGCATAGTGATAAATTTGATAGCCACATTTGATGCTAATGGAGATGGAAATGGTCTCAGTAAGCACTGTAAGTTTTATGCATAGTTATGCTTCCCTCTGGTGAAAGCTACAATAAATACAGACAATAAATATCTAGGACATGTGAAGTTTCCTGTCTTCATCTCGAACGGATTAAACTTCAATTTCTTTTGGTCTCTTCTGAAAAGTTTCTGTACTCCCAGGCGTAACATATGAGGGAAAAATTCAATTGTCTCAGATTAACTGATAAACAATATGGTAACTAAACAATGATTCTCCTAGGGAGCTAGCTCCAAGTCCAATTCTAGCTGAGAATATCTGGAAATAAAATATCTGGAAAGGGAAATTTTAAATTAGATTTTAAAAGGAATGAAAAAGTATAATTTTTCTATAATTTAAGCCCTTGGAGCTTGAAATACTATGAATTAGTGACTTTTGTGCTTCAAAATGCAATTGCTCTTGTGAAAAATATTTTATATGAATCTAATAGAAATGTTCATAACTTTTGCTGATATAATTAATACCACTGGTATGTATGAATACAATGATTATTGAATATAAACCAATCAGAAGGTTTTCAATTGAACAAAAACTCAGGAGTCAACATCATTACATACTGGAACAGTGGAAGAGACTGCTGAAGATAAAAAATCAGGCTACTGTGAAGAGCAACTAAAGAATCAATTCAAAGAACTCAAACAACTCAGGAACAAGGAACACTAAATGATCCTGACAGGATAAGAGGCCTAATGCCAAGATAAGATGATACAGCAAAAAATATAAAGTAAGAAGTTGTAAGCCATTGCTGAAGCCTTGGTTTTGTGGATGGCCTTCTATTAGGACTAGCCACCACCAATGGGTGATAAGTATGAAAAGAGCATAAGACTAGCCACCACCAATGGGTGAAAAAAGCAATGAAACACTGAATAAAAATATTAGGATAAAAAGTGGTTATTGATGTTTCTTTGTGTACAGCCAATAATCACACATTATAAAATAGTTTTTACTTTTATTTGTTTTAATTTAACATATACTCCTGGTCACAATGCAAAACACATTAAGGCTTAGCAACACTTGAAATTAGAAAAGTGATTTAATCTTTCTAAAGATAATCTCTCTTACAATGGACCTCACATACTAAAAGATTTGAGTCTACTAAACAAATACTTATACATTATTTCCATTAAAGTTTTCTCTTCTAATTCTAGGGTTCCCGCTCCTAGTTTCCAGAATCCCAGCTGATTTGGGTACCCTCTGTTTATATTCACCTAACCATTCAGTAAAGGCGTTAACACCTGAATTCTCAAAGGCAAGGTCAGTGAACAGTCAAATATGATTAAACGATAGATCTTAGTTTACCAAGTTAATCTGGGGCCTGCAGCTTTTGTTTCTCCCAGTTACCAAGATGGTGGCTTCTCCCCTTCCCTGAGCACAATCCCTTCCCCAGTGGAAATGGCTGTAGGTCTTGGGGAGTTGGGGAATTACACTTTTCTCCCACCCAGCAGACTCAATCCTCAAGGGACCTTTTTTTTCTGGGAAATTTCATTTGTGGTCATTGTATGCTGATCACATTAACACTTTTTTCAAAACATAACTTATTGAACTTGACATTCTAAGTTCTGGTTTTGTTAAACCAAAGGGTATTATGCACTACTATTTTAATAGAGTCAAAACATTTTCCAAAACAAAATTTATATCTAGTCAACTATTAAAACAGGAAACTATTGTAGGACATATAAAAGTCCTTCTTAACTACTAGGGTTAGTTTTCTAGAAATCTTTGTGATAGAAGTAATCATGACTAAAAAATTAAGATCAGATGAGATTTTGGAGCATTTCAGGTTGCTAAAAAATCTTATGAAAAATATAGAGTTCACACTTTTGAACATGAACTTTAAAACTTATGAACATGTTTTTAGTTTTATGAAATAAAGCCCATAAAACAGAAATTAGCATATTTTAAACATTTAACTTATAAATAATGCAAACCATTGATTTTAATTTATAAACCCTTTCTTACCATAAACTTATCAGTCTATCCCTATCTGCCATTTTCAAGATATTTATAATTTCTTTTTGTTTTGCAGCAGATAATGTGTGTATCAAGAAACATTATTTTCTATGCCTGTGACTACAACCAAATGCTCAATGTTTTTCTGATTTTCTTTTTACTCCAGTTTTCTAATTTCTGCCTTTCTGATTCACTGTAATCCAAGATACAGAATAATTTGGATATTTGAAAAGGTGGGAAAAAGTTTTGGCAAACATTTAACCTACTGGGTTTGTATTTTTTTTTTTAAAAATATTCCTTTAGAAGGTTATCTCATTACAGATATGTTCATGGTAACTTCATGCCAATGCCTGTGCCTTAAGCCCACATACCTTTTAATAATTTCCTTTGCCATATAAGCAGGCAGGTCTGAGGCCTAGTTAACCTTTTCACCTGCTGCTTGTAGCATTTCCAGGGTGTCACTGCAAAAACCTCTACTTTTCCACCCTCATTTATTCCCAGGCTAATTTTTTTTTCTTTAAAATTATCCCCAGTTGTAGTAACTTGCAATTTTCAAACAAAAACATTTATTGAGCACTTACTTACTATGTGCTAGGTATTTTGCTAAGGGGCTTACTTGGATGTATTTATTTAACTTCCTCAAGAATTTTTAAGTGGTTCTTATCACTCAGTAGAAGAAACTGAGCTTCTGAGACATTTAGTAACTTGCCCAAATCATAGACTTAGAAAGTGGAAGAGTAAGAAGTTGATCTAAGGTAGTTCCATACTAGAATCTCTGCATGGCATTGAAATTTTCTTATATCACATATTTCTTTTCTTATAAAATTGTCAGGCATTTTCACTGCCACTATGAATGTAAATATATAAAATAATTCCATTTATTTAGCATGCAATATGCACATAGAACACTAGATGGCAACAAATGTCAAGAAACTAAAGAACAAAGTAACCATTCCATAGTTGAGTAATAAAAGCAGTTGGTTTTAAAATTAAAATATGTATGCCATCTGACTTTTTAATACTCTTAGAAAGCAAAAATCCTAATGTGTTTTAACATAACTTTTAGCTAAAAACTACCAAACTCTCATTACATTTTATAAAGTGCTTAATAATCAATCCTTGCATTGATTATTCCTAATTTAGTGAAAATGCTATAGATTCATAAATACACAAAAGCTTTGCTTGTTCTTAACTGTAAATTTTAAAAAGCATTAACTATGAAACTTCATATTCATATTTAAAACTAATAATTGACTTAATTCAGTTCAACAAACATTTATTGTGCAATTAAGATGGAAATTGTATGTGGGATGATAGATGTCATAGACCTGACTTTCAAGGTCTTTTAGTGGAAAAAACTATGTAAACAGCCACCACAATTATACACAACATCAATAGGAATACAGAGGAAGAAGAGATTAATTCAAACAAGGGGCTGAGGGAAACTTCTGGGAAGACTGCCACCTGAGTTTAGCCTCATAGATTGAACAGATATTGTACAGATGAATACAGGGCAGAAAAGTATAGCACAATCAAATTCATGAAAATAGTCAATTGTATAATAGGCCCTGTTCTGGAAACAGCACAATTATATGACAGTGTGTAGTGAAAGGTAAGTCTAGGAAAGTTAGAGTGGGGCCAGATCGTGAAAGATCTGAAAGGTTATGCTAAGGAATTTGTCTTTTATTTTACTGCAAGAGGGGAGCTACCTGAATAGGGAGATTTATAATTCTAGAAGACTATAGCACCATTGTGAAAGATATACTGCAATTGGAAGAAATCTAATGGAAATCAATCAGAAAGCTATTGCAATAGTCTGCACAGGCTGCATAGGAGTATGTGAAGATTTAAACCAGGGAAGTGGTATAGGAATGGAAAGGTGGGTGTAACTAAACAGGGAACATTAAAGAAAGAGATAGAGCTTGGCAACTAGTGGATGTCAAAAAGCAACTGATGGGGAAGAGCCAGGACATTCAAAGAATGCAAGCCAGGACTGTTGTTAAGATGGTGACACCGTTATTTGAGAAGTTAATACAGAAAATGGTAGAAGGAAAAGCAGTAGTACAGCAAGTTAAAATTTGGTTGTATAGAGTTTCAGATGCTAGTAGAATATCATCCATAAAAAGAGATCTAGTAGCAAAAAGAAATGTAGGGCTGAAGCTCAGGAGAGCAGTAAGAGCCATAGGTGCAATGTGGGGCTGTTATAAATGATGGTGATATTCGGCCATGAAAGGACATATGAATCCCAGGAGATCAGGGGAACATGGCTAGAAACTAACTCTGAGGAATGTCTACATTTAATATTTGTGTGAAACAAGTTAAAAGAAACTTAAGAGGAGCAACACAATGTGGACCTACGAGAGTAAAATATTAGCTAAATCAAGGGAAAGGGATGATATGTTATGATAGGACAGTTAATGGCTTCCAAAACTACAGTTTGAGTCAAATGAGGATTGAGATGAGGTCACAGGGTTTGGTAGTCAGGAAATGAATGAGGATCATTAAGTGAGCAATTCAGTAGCATGAAATCACACTATATCTGTTCAAAGCCTGACTGCAATGTGTTCAGAAGTGAAAGGAAAGCTACCAGGGTAGACAACTGTTTTGAAAAGTCTGCCAGTGAAATGATGGACAGAGGTAGTAAATTGAGTGGAAGATTATCATGTGAGGGCTGCTTTTTGTTTAAACAGAAATAACAGCTGTAGATGGGATGAGAGTGGAAAACTGTGGAGAGGAAAGGAAGGACAGAGGATGCAAGAGAGATGTGATGGCAAATGGCTCAGGTCCCTGAAACCCTAGAAGTAGGAGCTAGAGATTCATCTTGGGAAACTAGAAGGGCCAGAAAAGCAAGGGGAAAATTGAGTAGAAGAGACATTTGAGGGAGGAGAAGATGCTGAGGGCTGTGGTCAGTTGGTCCTAATCTCAGTAAAGGGAGAAGTGGGTCATCTGAGGAGGTACTAGCAGTGGAGTTGGGGGAGTGAGGAAAGTGGAGTTCCTGGGTAGAGTATATAAGGTAGTAAACTGCAGAGAAAAGAAGTGTTTAACTGGACTTGTGACCACTGAAGGTGACCAGTATTACTCCAGTGGAAATCATTCAGTGGCTTTCTTAAGTGACTTTCTTCAGCAATCCTTGGTAGGCTAAAAGTAGAAATAGGGAAAAAAATGTATGATTGGGCTGAATTTTCACTGAACACTGGCAAAGTAGGTAAACTGGAAAGATAAGAATAAAGGAATTCGTGGGTGCTAGTGAGAATACAATTGCAATTCTCTTCATCAACAGATTTTTACTGAGTACCTATTATGTGACGAGCACTACACAAGATGCTAAAAATTCCCTTACTGTCATAGATGTTAAAGTTTAATGAAGGATACAGGCAAATAAGCCATAATAATACATTTTGATAAATGCCATAATACATAGTGGTTCTCAAATGGGGGGAAATTTGCCCTCCAGGACAATGAGGTCTGGAGACACCTTCCGTTGTCATAACTTGGGGGGATGCTACTGGCATTTAGTAGGTAGAGGCCAGGAATGCTGCTCAACATCCTACAATGTGAAGGACAGCCTCCAAAATAAAGAATTATGTAGCCTAAAATGTCAACAGTACCAAGGTTGGGAAACCTACTATAAAGGTACATTAAGAGGTACATCAAATCTAGACATGAGAGATAAGAGATTTTTTAGAGAGAGTACCATATAAGCTAAGACATGTAAGGATGGAGAAAATAATGCAGGCAGTGGAGTGGAAAAATTTGCATTGTGTGCACAAAGACCCAGAAGCTGGAAAGAGCACAAGACAATCAGCAGTATCATAACCATCACCACCACCACCATTATTTATTGAAATATTTTGTGCCAGGCTTTCTACAAGATAACTGATATATATTTTAAAATGGAGTTCTCATTAACAATCCTGTGAATCAGATATTTCTCCATTTTACAGATGAGGAAAAACTGAGGCACAGAGAAGTACCTTGTCCAAGGTCACACGGCCAGTGAATGGTAGGGCCAGAAGTTGAATCTAGGTCTGGCTGACTCTAACAAGCCCATGCTCAATCACTAAACTCTCCTGTCTTTGATGATGGCGGAGTTCACACACTGGGGGACAGGGTGTGAGAGGAGACAGTAAGAAGCAACACTGGAGGGGAAAGGAAGCCACATTCTGACAGACCTCGAAGCATGTGAAGGAACCTGGAGATCATCCTCAAGGCAGTGGAAATTCATGGAAAGGTTTTAAATCAGAAGAATCAAATGATCAAATGTCTCTTTATGAAAGATCACTTCTGGCTGCGGTATAGAGAAAGGAGTGAAGGAAGGGAGGCAAGTTAGGAGGCTGTTTAATATATAAATCCAGAGATTGCTATAGCCTGAACAAGTGTTAGTGAGGAAAAAATTCCAGAAAACTTCAGATTCACACTTAGTAACTGGTTAAAAGTTAGGGGTGAAGAGAAAATGACATCCAGTTTTCTGATCAGAGCATGTTGGTGGACAAAGGTGCCATTCAGTGAGTTAGAGAACACAGGAGGGGCAGCAGATTTGGGGAAGTGAATATAATGAGTACAGTTTGAGACTGGAAAATTCATATTCAAGTGGGAAGAAAGGAAGACAACGATGGAGACAACAGATAAAATGAGAGATCAAAAGAGAGAATGCCAAACAGGCACAAATGACGACAGAGCAGATTTAACTTTGATAGGGAAGAAGAGAAAAGGCTCTCGTCAGAGAGAGCATCTTGGAGTTTGAGATCTTAGTGGTACTTCAGTTCACGTGGGAGGTACAGTAGAGTAGAGGGAAATACTTGAGTTAAGGAGGCCAAAGAGTATTGGTGCTGCATATATCAACAACACAGATGTTGAAACCTTTAAGGATGATGAAATGAGACTGGGCAGAGGGGGTAAGGGTCAGATGCTAAAGCTCTTAAAAAGTGTCAGAGAGTGCCTCCTAGATTGAGAGTTTTTATTGATTGAGATTAGGAAAAAGAGAGGCAACACTAATTTCAAAGACAACTGAAAGTAAGTGCCAAAATAAAGCCCTGGAATGTTGGTAAGGAGTGAAGTAATTGCTGATTGCTCCATCATAGCCACATGAGATGAAATGAATGGCCACAAGGACTTCGCTGGAGATTTTAAGGGTCATAATGTAAAAAGGGACTACCAGAGTTCAGAACAAATGAAGAAATAGGAGTGTTTGAGGAAACAAAGTATGTTAGGGAGTTTGGTCAGAACTGAACCTAAGTTTCAGAAGACAGAGAGGCACTAGTGAAGAATGAGGGACAAATGGTCTAGGAAGAGTTAGAGATGAACTGGACAGAGACAGAAACGGATAAGGCCATGGCTAACAAGAGGCATAATATGGAATTGAACAGCCCTAATATTTTAGTAAAACACTGACATTACATTAAGGCATAGACCACTGCTATCCAATAGAACTTTTCATGATAATGAAAATATTCTAGTAATATAGCTACAATATCTAATATGATAATCTCACTAGTTACATGTGGTCTTTAAGCACTTGAAGTATAGCTAATGTGTCTAGGGAAAATACGTAGCAACCTTAATGGATTAAGGTGTGGTGGTCCCCAAACACAGCAATGCATCAATAGTAAACTATTATTCAAAGGGCCTCAAACACTGATCACTGTTAATTACTGCTGTTACCATTATTAAGTATGTTTGAGTTAGCTTATAATGAATCCATACTCATAGATGAAGATGCTATTTAATATACATATATTATTGTCTTTTGGCATATTTGGATGTTCTCAAAATTTCCCATGTATAGAGGAAAATATTTGTTTTTAGTCATATGAATAGATAAAAACTAATGACTGGATTTTAAGGTTTTCATGCCATTGAAAATTATCAGCAAATAAAAAGATTAAGCACACAAGTCTCTCAAAGTGTGTTACCATATGGTACTAGATTCTCTGAACAGTGATATAACAAGAGTATTTGCAGAGGAGTAAGAATTTTCCAAATAGAAAATTTGTTTAATTTAGAAAAGTCAACATTAACAGATTGGTATTATTCACTTTGTGTTTGGAAAAGAGAGTTTAGTTATGGAAGAATAACCAAAGAAATACTAAGAAGAAAAAAAAAAAGAGCGATTCTCCAATGTCTTTATTTGCATGTTATTAGACTTGCCTTGGTTTTTTCAAAATTGGCTTCCTCAGTCATTTGCACAGCTTGCTTCACCTGTTCGTAAGCACTTGCTTCTCTTTGCTGCACATCTGCCAAGCTGCTTCTTACAGAAACTAGTACAGACATCAAGTCATCTCTTTCTCTGTCAGCACAAAAAGAACATTCAAAACAAGGAATGATCAAATGATCATGTACTCATAAGTCAGGAAGAAAAGAGCATTAGTATGTATGAGAAGAGCCAGGGTGGGCCAGCTCAGCATGTATTAAATAAAGCACAACCCAGAGAAAGACCCTCTGTCCTTACTTGGAGAGCAGCAAGCAGCACAGCCAGAATGGCTGAGAGCATTCATGGCAGGACTGCATCTGCGTGGGACAATAACCTATTGTGGAAAGGGCTGCAGAGTAAATACCAGAAAAGAGCAAATTAGTTTTAAAAATGGAGGAAAGGGATGCTGAAAAGGGAAAATGCAACAAAGCAGGGAAGGTAGGGATTACACCTCAAAGTAGAAGTCAACATTTTAAGAAGGAACTAAGGCTTTGTTCACGCTGTTGATTCTTTTCTCACTTACTTGCACAAATATATGTCCTTTCCTTTTTGTCTTTCTCTGAAATTCCTTTTTTCCTGTCCTCTTTCAATTGAATTCTTTCACCTACTTAGGAACACATTCTTTTCTTTAAACAGGTAGCACTCTGAACACCTCAAATCCCTTGGTTCTGCATATAACATTCACAATTTAACACAATCTTATTCCACTGGGGTTAATCATTGCCAAGACCCACCTCCTTCTCAGCAATTCTCAAAAGTACCCTAAGCTAAGCTGTTTATTGGGGATAGAAGTAAACCCCATGCCAAAATGCTTTGGCATGTAAAATAGCAAGGATCCAATCTCACTAGGTTAAATAGATCCCATATAAATTAGTCCAGGATATTTGGAATTTATCAACCAAATAAAAATGTTCAGTAAACCAAAGAGAAAGTGAGGTGGGAAATTTGCTATACAGGCAAAGCAAAAAAATGTTTGTTGGATTGTCACACATGCTATTCCATGCTTTGTTAAAAGAGCTCAAGTTTTAAACTGTGGTTTCAAATTCATTTGAAATAAATGCTTGCAGTTTCGTTTCATTGCCAAGTTCTAAACTATCAGAAGAGAGCCAAATGTGATTATTTTTTTAAAAAAGCAAGTTTTAAACAGTTATAGTTTAGAGGATTATAAACTCTGAGTCTGAATTACTTTCAGAATTAACCAATGACTCTATTTTAAAACACTCTTAAAGGTAAAATAACTTAAACTATTTGTGGTATTTGGAAAGCAGCCACATTTTAAGAAACATTTAATACTGAACAAAGCTACAATTATTAGCAGTTTTATAAAAGCTCCTTTTGTTTAAAATAAGTATAAATCACCACCAAATATCTTAAAATTCATGGGAACATGGTGATATTCACTTTAGAATTTCCTGATTTGTTTTAAATTGATAAAAATAATGTACTTTAATTTTTTTATTCTACAGGAAATGAAAAAAGAAGTAAATTGTTTTGATCAAATATAATCAAGCACAATGATTATGTGAAACAGAAGAATCAAAGCAAGATTAAATTATTCTAGTAAAGAAATAAATTAAATGCAAACAAAATTGAATTTGTATTTATTTGCATTTTCAAAAATGCCCTCTAATGTAAAAGGGGATTCGCTTTAACAAGGATATGTAATCCAAGTAGAACCTGTGATTCTAGAAGAAAAGGAAACTTCACTTTTTAAGGATAGCAAGTCAATATAGGCATCATAGAGTCACCTTTCTTAAATTTCTAAGACCTACAGAAAAGCAAAAGTTACTATTCTTTGATATTCTTATCTGTTCCTGATACCATGCCATCACTAAAACCAAAGTTCCAAATAAGAAGAATGAACAAAAAAGCTCAGTAAATACTGAGTATACAAACAAATCACAACAAATCAGGATCAAAATCTAACAAATTTGCTTCTTATTTGAGACTTATGTTTAATACACTTAATCTCTTTTCAGGTTATCCTTTTGCCTAGAGTAATGTTTGTCACATAGCAGATGCTCAATGAAATAAACAACAAAAGAACAAATTAATAAATAAAGGATTTGCTATAGGAAGATGTCAAAAATGGGAACATAAAGCTCCCTCCCTATTCTAATATTTTATGGTCTAAACTGAAAAGTCATCTGACTATTTAGAATTCAAAAATAAATAGTTGCTCTGGTTCAAAAAGCTTTCAGAATATAAGCTCACCAACTTTAGACTACTGAACGACAGAAAATCAACAAAGACAAACCCTAAAATATAGATGCCTTGTTAAGCTCATTATTAACAGTGAAACCACAAAATGATTATACTAAAAATTTGTATAACCACTGGACTGATACACTCCAACTTTCTACAAGACAAATAAATGCACTACATGCTTCAGGGTGGCCCTCAGCCCTCTGGGAAGTCTGCAGGTAGCTATTTTAGCAATGTAGGATTATCTACTTAGTTGCTACATTTTGATGGTTTTGTTTTAACTCAGCCAGCCAATATACCAAATAGCAAGCATTAAAACAAAATAAATAAATAAAGAGTCCCAGGCTGGAGGCCCCTTCTCTCAACACAAGGCCTTGCTTCCTGCTTCATTCTGATATTCATCTAGATGGCTGTCACCTTCTTGACTTATCTCCCATATTTCAACCACACACTTGTCTCCTGGGTCTAACAGTGCTACTCATGATCTGCCCCGAAAATACAGTCAATTCCAGCCAGCCAGAGTTAATTGCCCAGTCAGTTGTGGTCCTGCTTAAGCCCCGAGTCCACAGGGCTAGCCCAGGGCTAGGCCTGACTGAAGGTTTCATAAGGTGAAGTTGTACAGACACAAGTGACATATCAGTGTGAGACTGAGAGGGCACTTCTCCAAATTACCATCTCCCACGGTAAAAATTCTGTGAGTGCTTGAAAACGCCATGTGAATATTTTAACAAGAGTAATCAAGGAGTGTCTTGAAGCAAAGCCAGCAATAAAACATTAACCCTGCAACATTCCAGGATTCAGATGAAAGAGCTGCTAAGGCAGAAAGATGACATAAAGAGCATGAAGACAGTTCTAGGATGGAAAAGCATGTACTTACACACACCCGCAAGCAGGTAATATTTAAGGAACTTAGTGCAACAATTGGAGCCAAAAGGACTGAGAGAGTCCCTGAATAATCTCGGCCAAGTGTTTAAAATAAGCAAAAGAGAAAGTTGGTCTGATACATATGCATGAGTGTTACCTTGAAATATGGAGTGCCTAAGAAATGCCTTATAATTCCTAAATTATTCCAGAGTTATTATCAATTTTAAGCATTATTAAAGCCTTATTTATAAGCATTATTACTACTGTTTTTAAAAAGAATCCCAGGAAGGCTGACTACAACATTTCTTTGTTCCTCATTTCTGGGAAGTTCCTGCTGTAGTCTTTCAAAGCCAACCATACAGAGCACTGCCAGTGATCCATCCCAAAATCACAAGCTGGACTAAAGTCTCAGAATAGTACCCTGGTAATCATTTCTCTTTTTTGAAAAGAACACTGCAACTTCTCCAAGGTACTGTGAGCTACAGAAAGGAATTTAATATAAATCAGTACCATCACATGGTCACCATTAGAAGGTATTTTGATTATTAAGCAAGAAAAAGAGGTTACTGTTACTCTTACCTAGCCCATGGCATAAAGAGGCCTAAGTGAAAGGCAGAAGTTCAAAAACAATAAGAAGATTTCAAATCAACTTAAAAAATGTATCAAATGTCATCAATGGTTGTTAATTATACTCTCCAAAGTCCTTGAGGTCCTAATAAAACATCACAAACACATACGTAGTGTGGTCTCTAAATCATGCCTGATCTTCTCCTTGTCAACTGCACAAGTCATTTTTGTGTCATATATTCAAAACAGTACATGATAAAGGATGTAACAAGCGAGCTTAAAGCTAGTGTCAACAATACCACATTTCCAAAATAGGCCAGGAAAATGATTGATTTTTCATATTTAAAGGTATATATATTGTTTAATTCTATATTAAAATCACGTTGGAAATATTATGATAATAGCTTTTTGAGGAGTCAGGCTTCTAACTATACACAAAACTAGAAATCCAAACCTAAAAAGTGATAGGCACTCTTCAAAGTCAGCAAAACATTCAATATGCAGCATGCTGCATTAATAAATTGAAAGAAACTGAACACCAGCTTAGGCCAATGGAATCATACAGACAAAAATTTTCATTGACAGTAAAAGCAGAAACCTTTTACTATTTTCTATATTAAGGCAGAATAGGATACAATATGCTGACAAAGCAGAAAATTGAACTAAATGGGTTGACATTTAAGAGGCTAAGAGCTCAAATTTAAGATAAAGACAAAGGAATACATAATTGAGCAAGAATCTAATTTCTAAATGACTACCAGACTTGGAATCAGCATAAACATTATAGCTTCCTTTTAAAATATTTTTCTCAGGATCTAGAAAGATAATCTGAAAGGCAATGTAATAGGGGAAATCCTGTTTTTTATTTGTTGGTTAGTTTTGCTAGACTACCTAGTTTTAAACTTCTCTTTTGATCTGTGTGGCTTTGATTATGCTTTTTTTCTTTTTTAAATGAATGTTTTCATTACATTCTCCTTGTAAAATTAGTTGCCAATATGGTTAAAAGCCTATGTGACACACACTTTCAATTTCAATGCCTTCCTCCACTTCAGTGGTAATCACTGTTAAATATTTGGTGTTTATTCTTTCAAATATTTTTCTACCTAAAGAAAAAAATAGGCAGTGTGGTTGTATACAGACTTAAAAAATACAAATTGTTTCATACTGGATATACCTTTAGTCATTTTGTTTTGTTTTCATTTTCTTTCTTTTTCATTTTCTTTCTACAATATTTTGAATAGGTTAATACATTAATACACATAGTTCTACTTCATTCTTTTCTTATACCGTGTACAAAATTTTATAATTTATCTAAACCATAGTTTACTTTCCTTTGAAGGCTATTTAGGTTGTTCACATCATTGCAAACAATGCTACAAAAAGGATTCCCTAAAATGCCTCATTATGCATGTACATGAGTTTTGTGTTTTTTTTCTCTAGGATAGATTTTGAAATGAACAATTTAAATATTAATAGATAATGCTAAAGTACCCTCCAAAGTAGTCTTACCAATTTATAGCTCCACTAGAGGGTATGAAAATACTCACTTGTGACCTTACCAACACTTGCAATAGTTTTTGCCAATCTGATGGGTTAGTTTTTTATTGTTTAATTGCATTTCCTTGAATACTAACATAATTAATACCTTCTAATATTTTGGCATCTTCCTCATTTATTGCTCAGCAATTTCTATTCTTTACCCATTTTGCAACTGGGCAGTTTGTCCTTTTCGTTCATTTCAAAGGAAATTCTTTATATATAGTATCAATATTTTGTTATGTATGGTGCAAATATTTTTTCCCAGCCTTTTAACTTAATTTGTCATATTTTATTGTAAGGAAACTTGTTTTTTAATGAAGTCAATTGTATCATGTTTTCCTTTATAACTTCTACTTTTCATGTCACCCTTAGGACTATAGTGAACTCAAGGCTATTCAGATTTTTTTATATTTACTGCGAATGCTTTTATAATCTGAATTATTTCTGAACTTTTAAATTATTTTGAATTTATTTTTGTAAGGTACAGTTCTATTCTTTTTTTTCCAAATATAAACAGGCAAATTTTTAACATTTCTGAGCCTCAGTTTCCTTAAGTTATAAAATGGGGGTAATAATATCTACCTCACAAATGCTTTATTAAGATTAAAAAGAGATTATGTTTTTAAATTGCCTGGCATAGTCCTTGGCATATAATAAATGTTATTATATGTTTGTTGTTCCTGAAAATATATTTAATAGTTATATTGAATTTATATATATAATTTAATGACATATTTAATAATTAATATAATACTTAATGAAAAATAGACCACTAGTACAGATCATAAAAACTACCAGTCAGTCCATGCTGGAGATCCAATTTTTATATAACCAGTAGGTTAGTCATGTGTGGCAATCACAGCTATCAGACATATTGATCATTCCTGAAGTACGGAAGGCACAGAAGAGTTTTAACATTTATTAAGCACTTACTGTATGTCAGAAAGTGTTTTACATACTATATAGGTTTTCTCTCAATGACCCCTCAAAATAACCCTATAAGTTAGGTTCTTTTATCACCAAGAGGTAAGTATTATTCCGCCAAACAAGGGAAGGTGCCAGGCTCAAAGAAGTAATTTGTTGAAGGTCAAGACATAGAGCATAATTGGTCTGACTTGAATGACCACACTCATTTCACTCTTCTATATCAATTCCAATCAGAAGATCTCTGACTGTTAAGCAGTAAATGCCAAAATGCCTTATCATATGAATAGGAAACGTTTACTGTCTACTACAGGCCAGGCACTCTGCTGGGAACAAGGGGCTACAGAAATAAACAACACACAGCTGCTGCCTCCATGTGCACACTATATATTATCAAATCACAGAAGAAAGAAATCTAAGTTAGTTGAGGACAAAATGGGGCAGAGCTGGCAAAAGACTACTTCTGAAAGGAAGTGATGTTTGAGTTATTTAAATGAGCACAGCAGACAGAGAGAGGTGACCTGGAGCACAGAGAGAAGTAGGGGACCAGGAAGAACACACACTATAAATAAACCACCTCTGAATTCTATAGTAAATAATAATTCTCAACTTCCACTAAATAAAATTTTCACAGGAAAAGACTTCCTCTGGAATAGTGAAAACAAAACAAAAGAGAGATACACAGAGAATTGTAGCATTTCAGCCTAGATAAAAACTGACAACATAAAAGCTCATTTGTAACTTGTGCCTAGTTAACTCTCAAATATTAATACCAGGAGACAGTGGGTCTTTCTTTAAGTACACTCATAATATTCTTTACAATAGACACGCGATAAAGACATGGTAATAACTCACTCTACCTAAACTACAGCAGGGAAATCAAAGATATGGCAAAATCAAAGGAATTCCTACCACACTGTTTTGTTAAGAATAATGCTGCATTTGTAATTTGTCCTAGAACTGGACAGATCTGTAGAGATTATCTAGTTCAATTCTCTCACTTGAAGACGAAACTGAAACCAAGAAATAAAATTATTTGTTTAAAGTTACATGGTTACCCACAGTCAGCAGAATCTATCCATTTTGTCTTTGAGGAAGCTATAATGAAGGAATCTTTTAAAATCCATTTTATCTGAAGCTTAACATTAATCACATGTTATTTAGCATGGGAATAAAAGAACACGATGCCTCTTTAAAGACACAATTTTCCATGTTGCCAGAGACCGTGCAGAGGAGTATACTTACTTAGTCAGTCTTTCAATGGTCTGCATGTGAACATTACTGTGGGTTTGGGAAAGAACAGCTTCATGCTGAGCACATTTCAAACAAAGACCACCAACACGGTTAGAAATATTAGCAGCAAGAAGAGATTCTTTATGCTTTAGTTGCTCTTTAAGATCTTCACAAGTTTTCTGATATTCAGCTAAATCTTTCCTAAAAAGAGGGGGAAAAATTCCAGGAAATGACCAGGTAAAAGTGTACTGCTTTCAAATAAATCATCATAATGATAACTATTACTATCATTTATGAAAGTTTACTTTATGCTTTACATACAATAACTTATTAATTTACCACAAACCTGAAACTTAGAATGTGATTATCCTAATTGATATGTTGAATATAATGAAACTTGAATATATTAAATAATTAACTCAGGTTCTTATAAGATTTTAATACAGATTAGAGTGTGCCTCCGATACTGGTTCTCTCTTCACAAAATCTGACCTTCATTAATATCATATTATCCCCAAAACAAAAATGAAAGTCCAAATATAAATCCTAAATAGTTTCTCTTAATAAAGGGATGTGGTGATACAATACGGCATACTTGAAATGAAGAAAATACCCTATTTCAACTCCTTAAAATTTATAGAAAGTACAAGTTCACATAAAGAACATGGCTTTTATCCATGACTAAGTTATCATTATTGTCCAGTTTTCTTCAGGCGGAAAACACAAAAAATTATCTAACCACAAAGTTTCACAAAGACCTGTTTCAAAAGAAAGTGGGCTATAGAAAGAAGTTATATAGAACTCACCAACTACTATTTCAAAAGTAGCAGCTATAAGCTGGAAACATGTAGCTTGCTAAAGAAAGAGCTGGAGAAGCATGTCCCTTTGTGTGTGTGTGTGTGTGTGTGTGTGTGTGTGTGTGTGTACAGTTTTTGTTTGTTTGTTATTACTTCATGGGCTTGCCCCTGGATGAAGTTTTTCTGCAAGTTGACTTTTTAAGCATTAAGTGACCAGTATATGGGTTATATTTTCTGCCTCCCCATTAAAAGTGTGGTAAAGTCAACTAGGCAACTGAGCTTCCTTGCCTATATGTCCATTTCCTACTGTATATATTTTTTAAAAAATCAACTTCTAGCTCAAAAAGGAGATTACTGAAGGCAGGTACTTTATCTCCAGCCCAGTCTACTCCCTTTGTCAGAGTTTCAATGCTCAAGGGTCTATAGCTATCTTAACTTGCTCACTATCACAGAGAAGAAGCCCACAACCAAGACGCTTGGCTGTCATACACTACTTCAATTGTTGGGATTTTCAAGCAATACAGGGAGGTGGAAAAGATCCATAGGCATTCTAAGTGTTTAAAAAAGCTAATCTAATGACAGTCTGAAGTTGAGGGGTGAGGGTGGGTGGAAAGGGGAAGAGCCGAGGAGCTATTTCTGTCCTATCCCTAAAATAATATTTCCAACATAATAAGTGTTTTTCAACAACATGTGGAGAAACTCTGACTTTCGAAGGCTTTATAAAAAGAACTTTGGAAGCACATTCCAAAGTCAAAGGGTCCTCGTTACTAATAATGTCAGGTCTAAACTCAAAACACTCAAGTAGATTTGATTATTGGAAATGGAAAAAGAGAAAGTTAAAAAGAAATAGTTACCATATGGCCAGAGATTCTGAAAAGAGTGATTTTATTTCTATCTTTAAGAAAATGCCTCTTTAAATAATCCTAAAAGGAAATGATGAAACAGAAGGATGCAGGGAACAAAGTTTAGAGTTCATTGCAAGTTGTAATTTTAATGTAATTAAAGATGGCATATTTAAATTCTGAATGAGACAAAATAAGTCATATTCCTATAAGTATAATGAATTAGAAATATATTACTTCAAAAACTGAAGAATCAAATCACAACAGAAATCAAGTAAGATAAAAAGGAAGAAAGCAAGACCATTTAAAAAATGTTAAATTTCTTTGTGAAAAAGTAAAACTCTCTACAGAAATCCAAAAACTAGTCAGCGTAATCCATTAGAAAAGCATAAAAAGTATTTTTTAAAATAAATGAACAACAACATGTGTAGTAAAAGCCATGCGTTCTGGTTCTTAGTATTACTCTAGTTATGTCTCTTAATGGCAAATGGCCTGGAAGATTTTTAAACTTATTTCAAATTGGACTTATTAAAATAAAATTATGAAAGTATTTTCAAGTTCATTTGATTTGAAGTACTTTATTACCACAATTAAAATAACGTTTAACAAAAAGTTTATTAATTCCTGGTGTCATTTTTCTACTCATTATATATAAATCACTAATGGTTAATCTATAATATATAAGTTTTATTGGAATCTAAATATACAGATTTTACAAAAAATACATAAACACTCATCATATATACTCTAATTCATCATGCATATAATACTGAAAGTATTCTATCATTGTTGCAATTTTAAAATTAGGTGAAGAATATTTACAGAGAAAAAACCTTGCTTATAATTTGAAAACTAGACTGCTTTATTTTCACCATTTATTTTACTTTAAAAACATAATTTTCTATAATAGCACCTAGTGATTCTTATTTCTATGAGAAAACACAAATATGTCATAACTGATGAAGGGATAAAATTTATAAATTAGCTCATAGAAATGGGCTTTGGAAAAGGACTCAAAATTTTAAGCTTCTTTAACCTTTAATAACCTGAGGAAATTTTTTATATTGCATATAAAATGTCATCAAGTAATTCTGATATTGATTAAAACTGGCAGTTCAGCAAACATTAAAATATATTTCAAGATTACTACGGATTTGGTATGATTGCAAATGGATGAGTTCTCTTTACCTCAAAAACTTCAATTGAGATTCCAGGATTTCACTCTTTTCCTCATAGGTAAGTTTTAACCTTTCCTATAGAAAAGAAAAGAAAAATATATTTTCTCCATGCTTTGTGCTTTATAAGCTAATTTTAATTGTTGATGTTAAACTTATGATGACACCACTGTACTCTAGCCCCTGTAAGAAAATGAGACTTTCTCTAAAATAAATAAGTAAATAAACAAACAAAAAAAATATTAAACTTATTGTTTTCTGTTTACCCAAGAGAAAAAACAATGTGTCTTCTCAGAAAACATTTTCCCTAGTCCACCCCAAATTTTCTATTTTTACTGGATTAAAGCCTGCAAAGAACTACTGAATCATAAAATAGTGATAACTGACAAATTTTTTTCTTTCAAAATTGCATACATCAGTTCTTATCCCTAAACGTGTGACTCTGGGAAAAACCAATTATAATCTATAAGGTTCACAAGGACAAAGATCAAATCTTATTAGAATCCCCCATTATGGCTGCTGCATATTTGAAATACAATAAATATGTGTTGATGAATGATAAAAAGTAAAGTTATGAATCGTATTATGATAGACCAAACTGATAAACTATCTAAAGGCTCTGCTTTATCTATTTTTCCATTCAAGAATATTTTTTTTTGGCTCTCCTCCTCCTCCCTCCCATTCAACAAATATTTATTGGGTATCTAAGATGAAGGTACCTTGAACCTTGGAACTTACACAATATTCTAGAAAGGAATAGAAAGGCAAACGGACAATTTCAATTACAATTGACCCTTCTATAACACAGTGGTTCAGGGTACTTAGTTAGCCCCACACAGTTGAAAATCCATGTATAACTTTTGACACCCCCAAAACTTAATTACTAATTGCCTACTAATGACCAGAAGCCTTATTGATAACATTAAACAGTTGACTAATGCATATTTTGTATGTTATGTGCATTATATACTGTATTTTTTACAATAAAGTAAGCTAGAGAAAAGAAAATGTTAAGAAAACTACAAAAAGAGAAAATATATTTACTCTTTTTAAGTAAAAGTGGATTATCGTAAAGGTCTTCATCTTTGTTGTCTTCACTTTGAGGTGGCTGAGGAGGAAGAGGAAGAAGAGGAATTGGTCTTGCTGTCTCAGGAGTGGCAGAGGCAGAAGTGTTGGAGGTGGAAGGGGAGGCAGACATAGACAGTGTAACATTATGGAAACACGTAATTGCTGTCTTTTTGCTTTTTCATTTCGCTTAGAATGTTTCTATTAATATATGGTAACAATCCTTCTTCCACCATTTGCTTTAGTTTCTGTACCCATATCACAGAAGGGCCCATGTTGTAACAGAAGTCAAAAGCCGTCTTTAATAATTGGAACCCTTCTGCCAGATTGTCTAATGTCCATTTGTTTTCTGGCACTGCTTCTTCTTTGTCTTCTTCCTCATTGTCTGGCACTAGAAAGACCCTTTAGAAAACTGTAACAATAACATCTGTAGATGATAATGAGAATCTGAAATATGATTCATTCTATCTTCCCCTAGAACACTCCTTACAGTGTTATTCTTACTCTTTCATCATTGTTGATCAACTCTGACATGTCAAATTTAATGCCAAGAAGACTTTCAGTTAGCAAGAAAAGAAAAAAGGACTGTTACACAGATCAAAGGATTGAAAAGTATCATTTGGTCTTAAAATAGAATATTTTAAATGCCTGGTGAAATTGGGACATTCCAAAGCCAGCTCTGTATATAGGGGAACTGAGAAAGCCACAAGCATGCCCAGGGAGGATTCATGCTCAGAAAATTCCCGAGAAGACGTTAGGCTTTCATATATGGCTGATCCCTAGGTTTACAGCAAGCCTAGCCAAATGGTGAAAGAATGCTCCAGCACAGATCCCATCTGCAGACTGGGAAATGTGGTTGCTCCTTCTCCCTCTCTTGTTCTCTCTTTCTCTTTGTGGGAGGGAAGGGGAAATTTGTTTGTTTCAGCTCCTGGCATTCAAGGAAATCTTTGTGGAACATTAGCTAAACATGAGCTAATAAAACAGAGACTTCAGTAATCACACATGACATGGAATAGTCTGCAAAAATAATTTGGAAAATTCTCAAAACCAAAAGGACTACTGTAGCCTTCAACAACAACAATAAAAAGATAGCGAATCCTGGGAAAGAAGGGCTATCTGATTTCCAGAATTACCATATTATGATAGTGAAATGCTTTTTGAAATGCTTTTTGTTGTTTTCAACAACAAAAAAATCACATGGAATACAAGGAATGGAAAACATGGTCACTCAAAGGAACACAATAAATTGAGAGAAACTATTGTTGAGAAACCATAGACATCAGACTTATTATGTAACAACATTGTTTTACTGGCAGTCCAGATAAATAAGTATTTAAAGGAAATATTAAATTTTTCTTTTGGCAGAAGTCAAGATAAACTGTGCAGATTAACCTGAATAAATGGTTTTGAATCATACAAATTTTTAAGAAGAAAAATAAAGACTTGTCCAAAGAGATTCTCCTAGTTTATAAAATATTTCCAGAATAACTCTTTAAAAATTCAAAAATACTCATTAATTACCTTAAAAATATGTCAATACCATATGGGTTTATGAAATAACTTCCAAAATTTATTTTTTTAATTTAAAAAGGATTTCAAGTTTTTTTGTTTTTTTTTTTTCATAACCAACAGAAATTTATTTCTCACAGTTCTGGAGGCTGGAAGTCTAAGATCAAATTTAGGTGTCTGGTGAGAACCTAGTCTCTCTGCTCCCAAGATGGCACTTTGTTGCTGTGTCCCCAAAGGCAAAAAGCTGGAAGGCATTCCCAGTTTTAAATACACTTCTAACACTATCACTTTCTTCATTTAAAAGTGCGTATCTCTGAGGGCGGGGCTACATACTTTTTGAAAAAATAATGATTTTTACAAATTAACACACAAAAATTTGCTTAAAATATCTTAAGGGGAAAAGAGTTTTCACCAAAACCAATATTTAAATAGACTATAGTAAATGACCTTGTTCCTTTTTTTTTTTTTTTTTTTCTTCTTTTTATACCATCCGAATTCTCAGTGAGATGCTTTGGTAGTTTTAAGACATGTCAGTCTTTACCAAGAGACACTGACATTAGTGATGTCCATGGTGATGGCAATTGCTTTTATGGCTCAGTTTAAGCAGATAAAACATTACTGGACTGGTTCGTCAAATCAGAGGCAAAGGTGCTCTCTTGGCCTATATCAAGACTTTGTTCAACTGAAGCTCCTGGGGGTGGAATATTATCTACAGTTTTATTGGCATTATTCAAGTTGCTAGTAAGTGTGGTAATATCATACTCCTAGTCCATGATACCAAATTCATCTTCTGTTGTAACTACATCTTTAGTTTCAAGTGGTTCCAAGGAAGAAACCAAAAACTCATTTTACAGAGGGGTTTGAGGCTCATTATTGTCATATTCTGCATCTTCTTTTACTTTAGAATCCTTACCACCATCACTGTCAATGGTAATTACAACTGGGGAAAGTACAGTATTATTTCTATGGTGTTTCTCATGCTTCTTTTTGTGTTTCTTCTTTTTCTTTTTTGATGTTTGGTTATACTGGTAACTTTTACTTTATAAACTTTCTCTACACTCAGGCTCCAGGTCCTCCTTTTTCTCCTATTGTGTTTTGTCTCTCTGTCTGATGATTGGCTGTCTGAAAAGCTCTCACTCTCGCTTTTTGTAGTTTCCATCCAATTTTGATGAAGAATTTTGGTAATGACTGTCTTTTACTATAGAAGCAAATTCTTGAGATGGTTGAGCCACTTCGTTAATACCCTCCAAATGCTGTGTTTTCTGTTTTTCTTTCCTTCCAGGCCTTTCATTTCTCACCTGTCCAGGCCCTGTAGATGCAGCCCCTGATATATTAGATGGGCTCCTTGATCTGTGCCTTTCATAGTAGTAATATTTCCTTTTGCTGTGGTTATTTTTTTCCCTAGCATTTGTTCTTTCAGAAAAGGACTGAATTCTGGACTTGAAGATTGTCTAGACTTGAAGGAGCTCTGGACAGAGTCCTCCTCCTGTAAGATGATTCATAGCTATTCCCTGCCCTTGCTTCTATTATGATAAGTATACTCCCACTAATATCTGCTTCCATAATTATTAAATAATAACGTAATCTATTTCTGTTCCGTGATCTTCTTTTACCATGATCACTGATACAAGACCTTGATCTGCTTGCACTTTCACTATTTAAAGTGTGGCTTCTTCTTAATCAACTGCTTTCTCTAGTTCTTGATCTCTTTTTGTGTCTTCTCCCTCTAGGTCTGCTACTCTCCCTGCTTCTGGATCTTTTGCTTTTCATTCTTTTCTTCCTATGATATTTTCTGTGACTTTTCTGATCACATCCACTTCTACTCTGGGAATGTGAATCTGAACTTCTTGATCTTCCCCTCTTCCTGTGTCTACGGCTATACGGAGAATATACTCTATCTGCTCTCATAGATAATCTTAGGTCTCTGGGAGATGACAATGATGTAGATCATTTCTCTTCCTTCTTTGATTTGATTCTTGTACCAGAATCACAATGACCTTTATTTATTTGCTCACCCTTTCCAAGGACAGAGCATGGGGATGAACATCTACTAACATCACTATCACCAGAACTGTAAGATTGGTCTTGTTCTTGTGTTTTTATCATATATATATATGATATATATATATATGATATATATATATCATATATATATTTTTTCTCACAAGTGCCTAACTCCTTAGACTCAGAAGGCAGTTCTGGGGTCCTCACAGCTAGTGGTTTAACAAACCAAACAGTGACACAATTTTCTGAAGAAGAATCAGTCATTATGTAAGCCCTTATTGGTTTGTACTCTTTGTATCTGAAACATGGATGGCTCCCTCTGTGACAAGTTCTTCATATGAACTGTTGGAAGTATTTACAAAGAAAGACATTGCAACATGTACCTGCTCTGAGCTTGAGTAAGATGGTCCTGGAGCTTCATCATTCCATGGTGCCTGACTAACAGTGGCTACATTAATATTCAGGTCTTGAATCTCAACCTCATCAGGAGATATTGTTATGACTGAAGAATCAGAATGTCTGCCTTCTTCATATGAAAGGGCAGGGTAATCATAATTGGCATGCTGGCCAAAGGCTGCCATATTAAACAGGGATCCAGTAAAACTGATCAATTTATATAGAAAATGCTCAGTTTTGGTCTTAAATGAGACACAAATGCCTGACTCTTGAAATCATAGTGAATAACATTACTCATGATGATGTGCTGGATGATATTCACTAAAGATCCACAAGCTCCAAATAGAACTGGAAGTTCACATTTTAACCAGGGAACTAATATGTGAAGGTAAGCTGGATTTCTATGGAAAAATTCAGCTAAAATATACCTATAGTGGCCACCATCTTCAATATTTCTAACTTGAGCCCCAGCACAATAGAGAATTCATCTAAAACTGATAATATCTTATTCTTGAATTTTCTGCAAAGACATTTCATCTGCAGTAGTTGGCCTCCTTACTGCAATGTGTCTCATAAGCTGAGGATTTTCAACATCTCTAGGTCTTGTTGAAATGCCTAACCCTTCAAACAGTTCTCCACTATCCGGTGGATTTGTTGTTCTTCCACTCATAGTACTACTAGGTGAATAAAGAGAAGCATTCCATTTCCTTATCAAAGTTGTGGAACATCATGAGTGGCAAAAGAACCAATATATGAAAGCCTTAGGACATACTCCTTGAAGTCATCTGCTGCCCTCACAGATAATAGAATCAAAAGGCTGTTTACATAATGGAAATTCAGCTTTGCTTTTTGATCATTCCTGTACACAGTGAAAACAACTTATGTAAGCACTGTTCTAAGTAAGACACATTATCAAATCCATCCAAGCATATAAGATACTTGGAATCAGAAGATACATCAGCTGGTACTGTTTGTTGCAATTTGCTAGTGCCAGCTTTAAGTGAAAAACTGTCCATTTTAAATTCGGTGGCTAATGCCATTATTTCAGAGGATGCCAGAGCAGGCGCTGCTGGGGACCTGTGGCAAGCTCCCCAAAGCCCAAAAAGCTAGGTAGGTCGGTGGCAGTAGGACTGTGAAGATGTACACAGTAACTTCTCCACCTACTCTCAGAAGTGGGAGCAGGCAGGGGTACTTCATCCTCCTTGCAAGACAGCAGAGATCCCAGTGGCTGCTGTGACCCCAAGAAGCCAGTGAGTCACCGCACTTTGTACTGGATTTATTCAGTGGTAGGTTCCCGGGCTGGCGGAGCTCCATGGTGTCGATTGCCTGGGCCTGCAGGCAAAAGGACCCTATTTCATCAGCACCCAGAAACTCTAAAATCCATTCCTGAATAAAGCATTTCACCCTCTCTTAGGCAAAGACTTTAAATCAACTGTCTCGGCCAGGTGAAGTGGCTCACACCTGTAATCTTAGCACTCTGAAACGCCTAGCAGGAGGATTGCTTGAGGCCAGGAGCTTGAGACCAACCTGAGCAACATGACCAGACCCCTGTCTCTGCAAAAAATAGAAAACAAATTAGCTGGGCATAGTGGCGCACACTTGTAGTCGCAGCTACTTGAGAGGCTAAGGCAGGAGGATGGCTTGAGCCCAGGAGTTTGAGGTTGTAGTGAGCTATGATGACACCACTGCTCTCTAGCCCAGGCAAGAGAGTGAGACCCTTTCTCAAAAAATAAAATAAAATAAATTGAAAAATAAAACAAAACAAACACAACAAGTCAGGAGGATTGCCTGAGCCCAGGAGTTTGAGGATGCTATGAGCTAGGCTGATGCCATGTCACTCTAGCCTGGGCAACAGAGTGAGACTCTGTCTCAACAAAACAAAACAAAACAAAACAAAAAAACACAGCATTAAATATTCTCAAAGAGGTAAGAGAAAAACATAGACAAAGAACTAAAGGAAATCAGGAAAACAAATTATAAAGGGGACCAAACAGAAATTCTGAAGCAGAAAAGTACAATAACAGAAATAAAAAATTTACTAGAAGGGTTCAAGAGTAGATTAGAGCAGGCAGAACAAAGAATCAGTGAACTTGGAGATAGGACAATTGAAATTATTAAGTCTGAAGAGCAGAAAAAAGAATGAAAAATTATCATATGACCCAATAAGTCCATTTCTGGGTATATACTCAAAAGAATTGGAAGTAGGGACTCAAACAGATGCTTGTATACCAATGTTCATATTATAATTCCCAAAAGGTGGAAACAATGCACATATCCATCAACAGATGAATGGATAAACAAAGTATGGTACATGCACACAATATTATTTTTAGCTGTAAAAAGGAATGAAATTCTGATGCACGCTACAATTGGATGAACTTTGAAAACATTATCCTAAGTGAAATAAGCCAGATACAAAACCAAATATTATTTAATTCCACTTATGTGAGATACCTAGAATAGATAAATTTATAGAGGCAAAAAGCAGAATAGAGGTTTCCGGGGGTTGGAGGGAAGGGGGAATGAAAAGTTACTGTTTAATGGGCACAGAGTTTTGTCTGGGATGATGAAAAAGTTCTGAAAATGGATAGTGTTGATGATTGCACAAAACTGTGGATGTACTTAATTTTATACTTAAAAATGGTTAAAATGGCAAATTTTGTTATGTACATTTTACCAGAATTTTTAAAAAGTACAGAAAAGAAATAAAAGATGCATAAAAGTACCTAAATACTCACCAGTTCTAGCTTCCATTTTTCAGCTTCACCAGCAGATGCATCTTTGCCAATATCTGCATTGCTGTGGGAAAATGGTTTCTTGGCAGCTTCATCCACTTCAGAATCTTCAGCTGTTGAAATCCAAGAATTCTGCATGTTTCCCTAAAACAAAATGTGCCAGTAATTGCAATTGATATTCAACTTGAAATAAACATGCATACTTTACAAATAGAATACTGATTCTTACCCATGATAAAAAACACACATACATGTTTCTAAACTATAAGTCAAAAATCATTTTATATTTTCAGACCATTAGAGTCATATTCTACAATTGGTGCTACAAAATCAAATTCCTACAAGTATAGGCAATAATTTAAATATGAGCAAAGAGGGCTGGATGTCAGCGTATTAATGGCATTATCTCTTACTCCTCTAAAGAGATATACTCTTGAAACATATAGCCATCTCTTAATTTGTCTTTCATTTTCTACATTTCATAGAGGCATGGCTAATAATGATAATAATAACTGTTAACACATATAGTGTTTTCTATGTGTCAGACACTGTTAGATTCCATTGTTGTCTCCATTTTATACATGAGGAGACCGAGTCACATGACGTAACCAGCTAAGGATCACAAAGGTAGGAAGTAGCTAATAAGTGGCAGAACTAAGATTTGAACCCTGGCAATCTGGCTTCAGAATCCATGCCTATGAAATAATAAGAAACATATATTTAGTCTCTGCCCCCAGTTCCTGACACAGAGCTCCCATAATTTTACAATTTCCTGAGTGGCAGGGGTTGTAGGAGCATCTTTTGTTATATTTGGTTTTAGTCCCTGGTGCCTGACATAAAAGCTTCTAAGACCCTTCAAATATCCACAGTGATAAGAGTATCTTTTTTATGCTAATGAGATGACTGGTGGAGAGGGTCCCTAGACAGCTTCTAGATGGGAGCTGGTCACCAGAAAGACAAAAGCATGATTAGAGGACTGGAACTTTTAGCCCCACTCCCCAACCTCCAGGGAGTAGAGAAGGACTAGAGATTAACAATCACCAATTGCCAATGATTTAATCAAGCATGCCTATGTAATGAAGCCTCCATGAAAGTCCTTTTTGATGGAGTTCAGAGAATTCCTGAGTTGGTGAATGCAGCCCCATGCCAGGAGGATGGTACACCCCAACTCCACAAACAGAAGCTCTTGTACTTGGGACCATCCTGGACCTTGCCCTATGTACCTCTTCATTTATTTGGTTGTTCATTTGTATCTTGTATAATATCCTTTATAATAAACTGGTAATAGCAAGTAAAGTGTTTCCCTGAATTTTGTGAATCATTTTAGCAAATTATCAAATATAAGAAAGGAGTTGTGAGAATCCCCAATTTGTAGCCAAGTCAGATAGAATGGGTGGTAACCTGGACCCACTACTTGTGATTGATATCTGAAGTGGGGGCAGTCTTGTGGGGCTGAGCCCTTAACCTGTGGGTCTGATACTAACTCTGGGTAGCTAGTGTCAGGATTTAGTTGAATCATTGGACACCCAGTCGGTATCCACAGAGAAAAGGAGAGTTGTTTAGTGTGGGGGAAAATATCCCAAAGATTTGGTGTCAGAAGTGTTAAAGTAGAGAAAAAGGAATACTTTTTTTTTCTTTAATGCTCTATACCATTATGCTCTTCTGTTTTTCCAGAAAAATATTTATCATATGTGGTGATAAACAGAGTTGACCTGCAACCCGCTGTCAGGGATTCAAGAAGGAATGGTAGGGCATGACAAACCATAGAAATGTGTCCCAACCAAAGGAAGCAGCCACTACTCAGTTCTAGTCAATCACTGCCATGTGTGAATACAATTTTATATTACTAGAAAATCTTTTTATTTCTTAAAAAAAGATAAGCCAGATATTTTGTTCTTCATTTGCAATATTGTTAAATATTGGCTCAAAAGTTGTCAAACAAATCAAACAAGTCTGTGGGTTGAATTCCATGTACCTATTGTCATTTTGTGACCTCTGTCTCCCTCTCAAGAGTTAAGGTAATAAGCAGCCCAGAGATGTGGATAATACTTATATTAATTTAATTTAACAAATAATTATTGGGCTCTTGCTAAGGGCCAAAGGATATGGTAGTACTCATAAGGGAAGATAGGTCTCCAAACATAGAACTACATCTCAGTATCATATCATACATTAATTCAAAGTAGTATTCTGAGATGCTATCCCATATTCTTCTGGAAGTCCAGTTTAGTGCAAACATTTGTGTAGCACCTACTATGTCCAGACACTGTGCTAAAAGCTTGGAGGACAAAAATGGCAAAATCAACCATAGTTCCAAGGAATTTACAGTCTAAAGAGGGAGAAACACATCCAAGCAAATAATTTCAATTTAATAAGGTAGTGCTAGGCCAGAGAAGTGCATGGGGGACTATGCCAGAACAGAGCAGGGATACTAAGAGCAACCAGAAATTCAAGGAAGGTTTTCTGGACAAGTTTTGATACTTGCGTGATATCTTGAAGGATGGATAAGGGTTACCTAGATGGGAAAGGCATTCTAGGAAGACGGAACCTCATGAGAAAAGGCACAGAGGTGCCTTATTATATTAATAGGTGAAATAGTAATAGCATGGTGCCTTCAGTGGGATCTTAGGCAATTCAACACTACTAGAGGTGAAAGTACAAGGCAATGTATGTCAGAGGATACAACGAGAGAATCAAATAAGAGACTTGAAAGTATAGCATACCATGCTAATAATGTACTTGATTCTCTAGATAGGGCTAAGTCTCTCAATATCTGATTGCATTTAAAGTTACTTTTGAGATCAGTGAGGCAGGGTGGTACTAATTTCCTATGGAGAATTTAGAAGAAGCATTCAGACCAAAGATCTTTGATGTAAGATGTATCATTCTTTGGAAAGAAGTGCTGGTTTAACGGATACTTTGTTTTTTCAGATAGCTTTAAAAAACTTGAATGGTGGCCAGGTACAGTGGCTCATGCCTGTAATCCTAACACTCTGGGAAGCCGAGTGCTTGAGCCTAGGAGTTTAAGACCAGCATAAGCAAGGGTGAGACTCCATCTCTACTAAAAATGAAAGAAAATTAGCTGGCCATACCCTGGCACACACCTGTAGCCCCAGCTACTCAAGAGGCTGAGAGACAAGAGGATTGCTTGAGTCCAGGAATTTGAGGTTGCAGTGAGCTATGATGACACCGCATCATGCTAGCTAAGTGACAGTGAGACTCTGTCACAAACAAACCAACCAACCAACCCAATTTGAATGGCATTTAATCAAGATTTTTAAAAAAATCTAAGTCCCTGAAGATCATTCAAAACCTTTGCTTTCTTCATTGAAGGGAAGGTTGATAAAGGGGATGACAACAAATAGGGAAAGACACGACTCTCTCCTTGAAAAAATTCCTAGATCTCTGACATGAGTACATAGCCAAAATTTCTAATAAATAATATGTTTTAATACTGACATAATTTTTTTAACTCTAGAGAAAAGCTTTCCATGAAGAGAAATTCTAAAAGAAGGAAAAGTGATGAAAAATGAAGACAGAAGTGAAATATACTTTGAATGGTTTTAGTTCTTAAAAAAATCATCTGCTTGTTTCTTCAATTTCTAGGTCATAAACTAAGCCAAAAGCTGAAAGTCTTGCAAGGAGACTACCATCCAAGTCCAGGGCTAAAAGTGAGAGACAATAAAGAGGAGGTTCTTCTCCTTTCTGCTGGGGAAAACTTCTATCCCCTACAAACAAAGATGGTTCAGTTCAATATTGACAAGTTCTTAATTTATACAGAAAGGCAGTTTAATTTAAAGTTAGGTGGTTGGATTTGGGGAGTTAAACAATCTTGGGTTTGAGTCCTTGCTTTGCCATTTTCTAGCTCTGTGACATTGGACCAGTTATTTAGGTTACTTAACTGCTGTGTACCTTAATTTATTTCTCCAAAAACAGATATAATAACATCTGCCTTGTGTGGGTATTGTAAAACTGAAATAATATAATAGAAATGAAGTGTTTGATGCAGTACTTGGTACTTTATAACCATGCAGTCATCAATAAATGCTAGTTATTAACATTTAATTGTTTCAACTGTATTTTTAAAGGAGGCATTATGAAGCACTGAAAAATCTATATTCAAATCAGCAAACAGTGTTGACAAGATCTAGCACCACCATTTTAATTGACTCATTAAAAAACCTCCCCTCCCAAAAAGGAAGATACTGTCTATGGATCTATTTATATTTAAGATATTCTAAAAGGTTTTATTCACATTAAAACTCCCAATACAGTACCATTCATGCATTGCTGAAGTGCCTTAATTCACCTACAGAGGTTAAAAAGTGGGAGTAACAATTTTGTAACAACAAATAACAGAAGACCAACATTAAAATAGATATCAAGGTCACCTGACACATCCTAAATAATAATTTCAATATTTGCATTACATTTTAGCTCATGTGAATGTTTAAAAAATAAAAAAAACCTCTTTATAACCTTGTCTTTTCTACTATGACTATAGTTTTCTTTAGCAATTTTTTTTTTGCTCATACTGCAAGACATGTGTGCTTTTACCATCATTTCCTTCCTCTTTTGTATTACTCATTTCTCTTGCCCTCTGATTCACTTGTCTGCCTAATTTCCTTTCTCACTTCACTTCCCCTTCTTCCACTTCTTTGCCATCACATAAATATTGAAGACTATGAATAATTGAGTCACAGCTTGCTAAGTTACTACCTATTTGGAAGAAAAGCAAAAGAACATATTTATCTTATAAATGAGGTACTTTTAAATACTTTTTATATAGTAATATCTTCTTCAAACTGACATTAAAATAATGAGCAATGAAGATAGAATTTTTAACCACTAATATTAACAATTATATAAATCTTCAGAAAAAAGTTATCTTGTGAGGGGAAAATAACTGATTACAATCTTAAATGTAATTTCAGAACTATAAACTAAAGAGCTAATCAGCCCACTTTCTTTTTTAAAGTTAACACAACCAGATACTTCTCAATCGCAAATTCTAACATATATAACTCAAATATTATAAGTAAAATATAAAGTAAAAAAAAAAAAAAAGAGTTCAAAAACAAAGGTTTAAGAATTCCTAAGTACAACATCAAGACTCTCATACTTTTTCTCAGCAACTGATTTACTTATAACAACTACGTCAAAACAACCAAAGTAAATTGCAAAGTAAAACTGGAACAGGCAAGTTTTAAAACTTCCCCATGGAAAGTTAAACTAGTCTCAAAAAGCAGAACAAGCTGTGATTAACTATCTCTTACAGCAAAAGAATGAAAAAATTTTAAGGTAAAACTCTGAGAAGTCATAAGAAGATAGTAAGTTTGAATACAATTTAAATATCATCAGAATGATTTTGTGTCACAGAATTATAGAGATCATCTGATCCACTGTTCTTCAAACTGTGAGCCACTGATAATTAGGATCACTTAGGCAACTTGAAAAAACATAAGATTCCTAGGACCCAACAAGACTAACTGAATCCGATTCATGGGATTGAGCCCAGGAATTTGCACGGTCAACTCCTGATATAAATTAATCTTTGAAATTACCAATGAAGAAACAGAGGGCCCAAAAAGTTAAGCTACACAAAACCCTATGAAATTACCTGCTAAACACCCAGCTTCTTAGGGACAATGGAAAGACTAACATTTTGATTCTTGGACACTCAGACCAACTTTCTTTCTGCTATACTATGCTGCTAATTAGACTTATTAGATTTCAGAGCTCAAGGAAAATTTAGAGACATCCAATGAGAATCTAAACTAAGCTAGGTTTCTAAACAGTTTCTAGATTAAACAAAGTACTTCCTATATAACACACTTCCTGCTTTCAGATCTCTTCTTTCCATAAGGAAAAAGCATTCATGGTATGCTCAGAGAGGAAACCAGAGTAAATATTAAGCATCACTACATCATTTTCTTTGAGGATTCATTCCCCCACAGTGAATTTTGATTTTGAGGCCTCAAGCAAATACCAGCATAGTACTTTGGCCTAACTTTAAGAAAAAATCTAATCAGTTTAGAACGTTGGGGGAGAGGGAAGGAGGGAACATTTCAACTAAAATGAAATTGGTGGTTTTAAAAAAATGCTTACAGATGCATACAGAAGTGTTTGTTCCCTCATTGTCTCCTCTTGTATTTGAGATTTCAGCTGTTGCTGGAGCCTTTCGTTTTCAAGCACAACTACTTGTACTCTATTTTTCATTCCAGAGAGTTCTTCCTATAAAAAGCAGAAAACAAATACATTAAGCATTTTTAAACAATGCTTTTATTTGCCAATTAGTGAAGGATCCAGCATGATATAAAGTATAGAAGACAAGTTCTCCATACATATTCTGAAATATTATCATCATATCAAGATAAGCAAGACAATGTAAACATTAGCTAATAAAGAGAAGGCTGGAAGTGTACAATAGAGGGCTTGTGGATGTCCATATCACAAAAGTGTATCGTTTTTGACAATTTTTTTCTCCAAGAAACCAAGGCTCATAGAAAGGCCTTAATTAAGGAGTTATTTATCTTATTTTTTTACTTATATTATTTTATTTATTTATTTTATATTCCGGGATTTTATTTATTTTTTTATTTCAGCATATTATGGGGGTACAAATTATAAATGTTTAGGTTACATATGTTGCCTTTGCCCCACCTGAGTCAGAGTTTCAAGTGTGTCCATCTCCCAAACGGTGTGCACCCCACCCATTAGGTGTGAATATACCCATCCCCTCCTCCTCCTCCTACCTGCCAAACACCTGAAGAATGTTACTACTATAGGTGCACATAGTGTTCATCAGTTAACACCAATTTGATGGTGAGTACATGTGGTACTTGTTTTTCCATTCTTGTGATATTTCACGTAGTAAAATGGGCTCTTGCCCTATCTAGCATAACATAAGAGGTGCTATATCACCATTGTTTCGTATAGCTGAATAGTACTCCATGGTATACATTTACCACATGTTATTAATCCACTCATGTATTGATGGGCACTTGGGTTGTTTCCACATCTTTGCAATTGTGAATTGTGCTGCTATAAACATTCTTGGGCAGATGTATTTTTTATAGAATATCTTTTTTTTCCTTTGGGTAGATATCCAGTAATGGGATTGCTGGATCAAATGGTGGTTCTACTTTTATCTTTTAGAGGTATCTCCATATTATTTTCCATAGAGGTTGCACTAGTTTGCAGTCCCACCGGCAGTGTATCAGTGTTCCTATCTCTCCACATCCACGCCAACATTTATTGTTTGGGGACTTTTTGATAAAAGCCATTCTCATTGGAGTTAAGTGATATCTCATTATGGTTTTGATTTGCATTTCCCTGATGATTAGAGAGATTGAGCATTTTTTCATGTTTGTTGTATCTTCTTTTGAAAAGTTTCTGTTCATGTCCTTGGCCCACTTTTTGATAGGGTTGTTTGATTTTTTTCTTGCTGATTTTCCTTAGTTCTATATCGATTCTAGTTATTAGCCTTTTATTGGATATGTCACATGCAAATATTTTCTTCCACTACACATCTAAAATCTAAAACACAACACCAAATGTTGACAAAGATATGGAGTGTCAGGAACTCTCATTCAATGTTGGTGAGAATGCATAATGGTACAGACACTTTGGAAAACAGGCAGTTTTTGACAAAGTTAAACATACTCTTACCATACTATCCAGCAATCGAGCTTCTTGGTATTTACCCAAATGAGTTAAAAACTTATGTCCGCACAAAAAATGACATGCAAATGCTTATAGCAGCTTTACTCATAATTGCCAAAACTTGGAAGCAATAAATATCTACTTCAATAGGTGCATGGATAAACAAGTTATGGTATATCTATACAATGAAATATCATTCACTAATAAAAAGAAATGAGCCATCAAGTTATGAAAAGACATGGTAGTACATTAAATTCACATTACTAAGTAAAAGAAGCCAGTCCAAAAAGGCTACATACTGTATGATTCCAACTATATGACATTCTGGAAAAGGTAAAATTATGGTGACAGTAAAAATATCAGAGGTTGTCAGGGGCTTGGGGGAATAGGGATGAATAGGTAGAGCACAGGGGATGTTTAGGGCAGTGAAACTACTCTGTATGATACTGTAATGGTGGATACATGTCATTATACTTTCATCAAAATTCATAGAATGTACAACACAACCATGAACTGTAATGTAAACTGGAGGATTTATATAATAATAAGGTAACAATATTGGTTCATCAATTATCACAAATGTATAACATTGATGCAAGAAAATAGCAGGGGAATCTATGGGGTGGGGATGCAATTGAGAGGACTATATGGGAACTCTATGTATTTTCTATTCAATCTTTCTGTGAACCTAAAATGGATATAAAAAATAAAGTCTATTAATTAAACAAACAACATCTTTCTAAGCCACTTAAATATTACTTTCATTCCATTCCTCCCTTGTTAAAATGTATCAAATTTATACTCTGACTTTCAAGCTTCTCTAATCTTCCATTTTACCAGTTCAGCATTATTTGCATTATTTCTACAAGACAGTCTCCATTGTAGGAAGATAAAATAGATGCCTTCTGGCCCCAACCAACAAACCATATTCATCTTGAATATATCCTTTCATTGTTGCTATTCTCCTTATGAAAATCATTTTCCTTCTGCTGGTCTAAATGACCATTTTCCTTCAAGACTGGTTTAAGATTTTTCCTCCCATAAAAACATCCCCCAAAACACTAGCTTTCCATAACCTTCTCTCTTATTATAGTTTATACCATGGAGTAAATGCCTACATTCTATTCTCTATTGTACAGCTCTTAGGTAATAGTCTGTCTTCTCAACTAAATGGTGAAGTTATTCTGCTTTATATCTTTTAAGTTTTATCCATAGCATCTTAGGGGTTAATAGATTCTTGTTAATGGAACTGTTCCTAGGGTATTATTTCAGTTTTACTGGTAATCCAAGAATACCTATATATTAATAACTGCATCTTCTAAGAAAAAACAGAATACCACTGGTTAAGATCAGGGACTCCCTCATAAAATCAAGACAATGAAACAGCTAAAGGCTCCTTAAGTTACATACTTGCCTTGCACCTTAAAAGAATACCCACAATGTTAAAAATATAATATATGATACAAAAGATACCAGTAAGTCCTATAAAAAATCACATGATCTGATACACTGATACTGGAAAAAAGGAAGGAAGGAAGGAAGGGAGGGAGGAAGAAAGAAAAGAAAAGACCAAAACACTGACATACTTTGGGAAGGCAGAAAGGCTCCAATGGTATTAATGACATTAGTAAATTGCATATAGTTCAGCACGTAACCTCCCAGTATCACAAGCTACAGGTGATGTATTTGGTTTCTTGATTATTAATATTAATAATAACCTATGAACCATTCTTATCATTTAAAGTCAGGGTCAGAGCCTTAATACTAAAAATGGAGAAAATCTGGTCTTCTAGTTTAGAAACCCTGATAATTGTGCCACAGCTCCAATAGGTTAAGAAGTGTGGGAGAATGATTGGTATTTGTATTCCAAAGCATTTGCCATCTACTGCGCTAAAGTAAATGGGGTAGGAAGAAAAAATTCTAAAATATAAGAGCATATTATGAATTATTAGACATAGTAATGTACTACTGGGAAATCAAGCAGACAGAAATGGCATGGTCAAGAGTATCATTCCCAAGTCTGACAAGCCCCTGTAACACATTAGTCTCTCAATCATATGAGAATAACAACTGTCAATGTATCGCTGCAAACATGAAGACTAACAATAGAAAATTTTAATACAAGGTATAATTAATATAGACTTTAATTTTATTTAGTTTTAAGTTCTTAATGAGAAACTTACCTTACAGAACTTGACTTCTGCCTCTAAATGATGAATATATTGAGATTGGTCATTAATAATAGGAACAAGGTTATGCACAGTAGGCATATTGTTTTCCTCATATTCTGATGACTCCTAAGGGAAAAGCCAAATTAAGCATGCTTTTATTTAGCAAAGAATCAGTTGGTATCTTCTTCATACTCAATTTAGCGCTGATGTGATATGAACATAGAATAGATCACAATGTAGTTAATAGTATTTATTTTTCTATCCTATAAATTCCAACAATATATAAGATTCCAGGATATGAATATCATTTCTTAAAGATGGATAGTGAAAGTGGTTATAAAAAGCACAAAGCAAGTGGGAAAATGCTGGAGTAATATAAGTGACTTGGAATGAACTGCCTATTTAAACTATCTGAAAATGTGACATTCCAGTCAGTAATGCTGAGACACAAGGAACAACTCTCTCCAAGAAACTGCCATGGAAGAGAATTGCCAGCAAAACTGTAAATCAGCTCCTCAGAGAACAGATCCTTTAGAAAAGTATTTGATGCCAAGTGTGTGCCAATGAGGTAAAATTCCATCTCTAAAAGGGTACATTAGCAAAATGTAGTTTTTGATTTTGACCCTAGTATTCAAGGCAATTCAAGAGTATGCTGCTCTGGAGCACAGAACTTCTAAGACTAGAGCCCTAAAGCAGAGATAGACTGCACTGAGGAGTCTAATGAAGAGATTTCAGAAAAAGTGTTAATGCTATTTAGCTCTGGAGCATTCCTAGAACTGACTTTTCATGTATGCCTTATCTTATCTTAAAATGATTGTGAAATGGTTTATAAAATCATAAATCCCACCATGATATTTTATTAAAAAGATGAGGAAATCAGAAAAAGGGAAAATGACGGTCAACTAATTAAACAAATCTAGAGGAAAGTTTGAGATGAGACATAGTCTCTGTTTCTCAGTCATTTGGTTTCTCAGCCCAGCAGAAGTTCTAAACAATGATGAAGCTTTTAGGTCAGCATAATTAAATAGAGATCTGCTTTTTGGTATATTTAAGAAATTTAAAAACCAAAGTAACTTTAATTAAACTAATTATCTTTGGTGAATAACTATGGCCACTCATAGTAATAATACTCCCTATTGACTTACAGGGGTAAGTCAATATGAAAAATAAAAAACTCAAGCTAACACTATGTGAAAAAATGTTCACATGAAACAATTTGTGTATACTTTGAAGGGCTTATTATAGTTTGGGTATCTACCTTTTAAAATAGTAAGTTAATACCTAGATATATTTTCTATCTTAAGAGTGCCTCAGTTTCACTCTAAATATATCCACATATTTCTGATCTGTCATATTGGCTGTGAAAGTGAATTTTAAGGGGATAATCTTAAAAAGGTAAATATTATTATTGTTATGGCTTATAATTATTACATGTGGGCTATATATATTTAGAGTCTAAGTTCTACTCTTTTACATAGCTGGATGTGACTAGACTTTAAGTATACTTTGTATATGCTAAACAGATGCTCTTGAAGAAGGTCTTCCTGCCAATATTGATCTAATAAGCTCCATAATGTCACTGTTTAGTTTTTAAAAAGCTAATAAGCAAGTCTGAGCAGTCAACAGATACAGCAACTTCATACTGCAGTCCCCAACCCCTGGGCCTTGGCCTGTTAGGGACTGGGCTGCAGAGCTCTGCACACCCCCACCCACACCCCCAGGCCATCCATGGGAAAATTCTCTTCCCTGAAACTTAGGACCAGGGTGGGAGTCCTCACAGCAGAAAGTGAGTGTCACCACCTGAGCTCTGCCTCCCCCACCCACCCCCACCCCTCTGTGGAAAAATTATCTTCCATGAAATTGGTCCCTGGTGCCAAAAAGTTGAGGACCACTAAACAGACTTAAAAACATTCCGCCCAGTTTGTACTTAAGAGCATTTTAGAAACCAGATGTCAATGATAAATTCATTAAATGATGAAATGTTTTATTAAAATTATAATCTATGTCTATAAATATTGAATATCCATATGAAGTACATTTTTCTGAAGTGGGAATTAAGCATAAAAGTATGTGTCATGCTGGAATAAAGTGTAAATATGGAGGTACTATCATTGCATTTAAGCTGTGAATAAAAGAAAGTGACACGTCTCCACAATTTCCACATGTAGGCTTTTTAATCAACTATATACATATTGAAAATGCAAGGTGGTTACTGCTGCTGTGACACATTATATTTATGCCATACTTAATAGATTTCTAAAGAATTTTAAGTATGTAATCTTATCTTATTATTGCAAAAACTCTGTGAAATAGGAACAATATCCTTTTAGAGAGTATGTGATAGACTCTAGATAGACTTAAGGCCTTGACTACTATTTTGGCCATTTAAACCTGATCCAGTTCTTTCCCTCCATCTGTCACAGTCTTTAGTATGTAAAATGCTTTGATAAGGAAAAATACATTCTGTCAAAGCAATAAAAATATAATCTCAGAAGAAATAAGAGTATTACTTTTTATACATCATACTGTTTTATAACTATATATTTTAACACGTAGAATATTACATACTTCAGTTTTGACATTCAAAATAAAGTATTGCAAAGGGGGGCTAGAATTATAATCAAGTAACTTCTAAAACGGATCAAATATAGACATGACCCTCTAAAAAAGATATTACTAAAACATTACCTTTTATATATATTGTTTCTTTTGTATATTTGCTAACAGTTACAAAATAAATTTTTCAAACTGTTTTCTTGCTCTCATTTTTGAGTAATAAATTTAAATGATCAAGATTCCCTCTGCCTTGTAAATCTCTTTTCTTCAGCCAAAATAATCAGACAAAGAGAATTTCTTTTAATGTTTTACACAGCAGGCTCTGCTTATAATTTGTTTATAGCATGCACTACTAAAATGACACTGTAAAGTAAAACACAAAAGTTGGTACTTACCAAAGGGGACATTTTCGGTCTTCTTGATGGAGATACCTCACTTTCCTTAGTTGCTTGCTGACGCAACAAAGCTTTGAGCTGATTAACTACAGAGCAAAAGCAATGGGCTTATTAACCTTATTTGAGATCCATGGTTTATTACCACTGATCCATCTTTCTATCCCTCCAACAAAAATTGCTGTAATATATATTATGCATCAATAACAGTGCTATTGACTGGGGATACAAAGACAAACAAAAAAATCTCTACCCTATAAAAGCTAACAATGCAGTGAGCAAAAGACATTAATAGACATAAAACAATAAGTATGTATGTAGATCTAGAGCTACGCTTAGTGCTACAAGAATGGGAAGCACCTAACTGTGCCTGTTTTCACCAAAGAATAACACCGGGACAATGAACAGGAGTTCACCAAACAGAAAAAGGGTGAGAAAACTTCCAATTAGAAGGCAATGCACACGTAAAGGCACAGAAGCATGGTCAGGAGGTTGGTATGACTAGCATGTGGTTTGTGAGATGGATGGTTAGGATGAGAAGGATAGAAAACTGAGGCTAGAGAAGTAGGTTAGAGCTATGTTAGGAAAATATTATTATCTCTTACTACAGATTTTGGACTTCAATCTATAGGCATTGGGAAGTAAGAAAAAAGAAAAAAAGATTAAGCAGAGGAATTATATTATCTGATTTGTGTTTCAGGAATAACATCCTAGCAGCAGACTAAAGGATGAAATGGAGTCATTTTTCTATGGAATTTAAAAAATTCATTATGTGTCATTCAGGCTAAGACTCACCAGCATGGCTGTGTTGTAGTTCTTGCCAGGCCATCTCATTTCCCACACCGGTGCTACAAGAAGGATCCAGTGTATCTTCTCCAATGGTGACATCACCTTCTCTTAGGGCTCCTTTGAGTTGGTGAATGCTTCTATTGGCACGTTCTGCAACAACAACCTGATGAAAGTCAGGGCCAAGGAAATCTAGGTGAGCACATCGACACTTGCTCAAGAAGGCAATCTCTAAAGGAGAATCCATTATTTCTGGTACTATGTGGGAAAAAGCAGAGTTCTGTTTCTAGCTTGCTGAGGAATGTGCCAGAGGAAGAGACAGGATTAAGTTCATGGATTAGTGGTTAGACTTTATGATCTCTAAGGTCCCTGTCACTGCAGTGGTTGATATTCACTATATATAGCACCACCATCAAGGAGGATTAAATGGCAGAGCTCCCCTCACCAGCCCTCTCAAACAATAGCTGACATAGGAAAGGCGTTCCTTCCCCTCAGTGCCTCAGACTCCCCTATCCCACCTGGAAACACTGGAGTGGGTGAGGGGGCCAGTAAGGGGGACTCAGTCACACCAAGCTCTGACCTAGGGAGGGCTTGTTGGCTCTGGGGACGAGACACTCCTCCCCTTCCCCATCCAGAGACATCCAACTGCCTGGCCTAGTTTTAATCAAAGTTTGACTAGCTGATATGCTTATAGTGACAGCCCTTGTAGTACAGCCCTTTTTATATACTGCTGGCTAACTATACCTCATGCATAGATTCTTGGTTAGTACAACTGGCCATCCCTAGAATTGAAATTTAAACTAACTAGCACACATATAACATAAACTGTTTAAAATGAAGTATTTCAAGGCATATTACTGTGATAGTACATCTCTGAAAATACCCCAAAGGAGTCCAGCCTCAGGCCCTTATCCTCTCCTAATTTGAAACTGAGTGGGCCTGCATTAACCAAGTTCTTTGGTTAATGAACTTACATTAACCAATAGAATGCAGTAGAAGTTACACCATGCCAGATCTTGGCCTCATCTTTAAAAGGACTAGCAGTTTCTCCTTCCTCTCTCTTGGAATGCTTGCTCTTGGGAGCCCCAAGCCACTATATAAGAAGTCTGCTACCCTGCTGGAGAGACCTGTAAAGAGGCTATGTGGAGAGGAAAGGCCCTGGGACCACATGGAGAGAGAAGCACACACCCCCACCCCTACCCTCCACCCCCCACCCCTACCCTCCACCCCACAAGCCCAGTGTAGCCTCCAGAGGACTTCAGAGCCATACACCACCTAACTGCAATGGCATGGAAGAGTTTAATCATTACCAATCATGTATGAAAATACATTTAACATATTAACTTCCATGTGAATTATATTTAACTCACACTAGTTTTGAACCTGGGGCCTTGTGAAGCATACGTAACTCATATGTCTCTTTACCTTGGGAGCTGTAAGAACTATTTTTCAAATTGCATATAGTTCATACACAGAAAACAATAAAAAATAACAAATTTTTATTAAATTAGAAAGGATCATTTTATCATTTTGTTTTTAAATTTTTTATTCTATTTTTGTAATAAAACACTGTGGCCCCAAGGAAAAAAATTTTTTTTTCTAGTGTGGCAGTAAACGTGTTAAAAACATACATTCTACAGGACCTTGAAAAACAGTTTCCATTTTTTCTAAGTTTGGACAGAAAAAAATAACCATATTACTTCATAGAAAAAAATATCCTATGTTACAAAATATCTAATATAGTTTTTTCTACCTCAATAAACTTAAGAGAACAGGTCTTTCAGGTCAGGGTTCAACAATGAAATTCTATTACTTAACTCCACAAGAGACTCAGTGAACTTATCGCTACATTTTTCTCCATACCAATCCTATTTCCACAGAGATCATTCTTTGAGACGAAATTGGAGCTGATTACTAACCAAGCCTGGACTCCTCTTACTCATCATGAGTTTAAGAAAGCCTAAAACCATTGCTGGCTTTAGCAATATAAGGGCAGTAATAGTTGTCTGATAATTTCGTGTTGCCTAAAGAGAATTGTTAATGGAAAAGGAAAATCAAAGTATTACACGAGCAATTTAGTTCACAGAGCTTTAGATATATGCCCTTAAATCCATGACTAAAGCACTTATCTATACTGCATCCATTAGAAAGGAAACAGAGGGTTTGAATAACATTAACAGTGTGTTCCATGGAACTCTCAAGTGACTTCACCTTTAAGATGAAGGCTAATTCTTTATTTATCTAGTCTCAGTAAAAACTAATAAACTATATTAGGAAAAAGGAAATCTAAAAAAAATTGCATTGTAAAATATCCCTATGGGTAAAGTTCTTTCATCAGATTACAATGATCACAGGATTTTAAGAGCCCTTGTAATCCCTTTTCTAATATTCTTGTTTAATCTTTTAGAATTTGTAACATTCAAATGCTACATGTTAAATTGTACTATGAAAATAGTATTATGTAATATACTGAGATACTGAATTCAACAACTATCTCCATAGAAAAGTGATACACAAAGCTTTGGGTTTTTTGTTTGTTTGTTTTTGTTTTTTGTTGTTTTTTTTTCTGCAACTACTGACTTCAGAGTTACTAGAGTCAGAAATAAAGAGAAGGAACTTGCAAGGACCATGTCCTAAAACTAAAACTAAGAGGGTAAGTGATATTTTAAAGTCATTTCAATGCTACATTTCAAAACATGTTAAGTGCTTTTCAAATATATACAGAGCAACATAATTTAACACTGTAACAGACAAAACAGGTTTAATCTTGACGAATAACACCACTAAGATCATTCAAGACAGATGAAATCCCATCTCTCTTTAACTGGAGACTTTGCAACTGAAGGCTCCATAATTCTTATTAAGAACATTACTCCCCAGGTGCAGTTATCTACTTATCTACTCCTTACACTTAAAGAAATCAGGTTAGCTGGGGGTCCCAGTTATCATTTCCTATTCCATCGCTAATAGGGCACAGCTTTATCTGTCTCTAAACAAGAGATAGAAAGAGCACTAATTTCCTCTTCTCTCCTGAGAGGACAGTAAGGGTATTTCACAATGCATCCTGATGTCTTTTCTCCAGCACCAACCACAAACTGAATAATAATTATGAATACAAACACAAACAGGACCTCTGTGTCCTACAGATCACATGAACATAAATGCAAGTAAATAATGCTAGTCCACTAAGCAAACATCATTCACTACAATGAACACTTAAAAGGTTTTTAGCTGATGACTGCTGACAAATTTAAGTCTGTCTTATTCATTTTCTTAGTCCAGTTTCCCTACTCCCTATGTTCTAACTCTTAGCTCACCACTGGACCTCTTCATCAAGATGTCAACATGTTTTTAAACAAAATGCAAGTATGTCTCAGTCTAGGAAGGATGAGCACTTATAAACATACTGTGAATTATTAATTTCTACATTTTCCATCTGTCCTGGGAGATGTGAAAGAGAATTGCCCTGATAACAGGGAGGGGGGACCACTCCCTGTGAAGTGCTCAGCTGTCTCTGGGAAAATATTCAATGAACCATACCTTCCTAGGCCGAGACAAGCTCCCGACTCAAACTTAGACTAGGGCAGACAAGCAGAAAAGTGAAACCACAGTGAGATAAGAGATACATGTATCTGTCCACACTTGACTGGGCCTCAGCTCGTTCAGAAGATCACTGTCACTGTTTACTAGGGGACCAAAAGATAGCACAAGCAAGATAAAAACAGCATAATCCAAAATGAGACAAAGCCCGCTTTGTAAATGGCAATTACAATATTAAAAGAGATTAAAAGTATTATGCAGAAACAAAAAAAATCTCAAAGAAAATACTATCCTAAGATTGTAATAGCTGGAAAATGTGCTATAGTGGTTGGCACCAGGAGTAAAAGATAATCCTATCAAGAATGTAAACATCTTAAGAAAGCAGTGTCTGGAAGACCATTAATGATGTATGGGTGTTGGCAAATTCAGGAGATTGGCTATATGCATTCTGAGAAATACACCTGGTATTTCTTTGGCCCTGAGAAGACTTACACACCTGTCACTTTCCACTGACAAAGAAGTAATCCTGGCCAGGCTAGCAGAAGAACGTAAGTAGAATCATCAGCAAATACAATCTGTTTATCCTTAAATGTAATTATTCTGAAGTATGATTCTTACAGAGCAAGGGCAATGAGCAAAGCCTTGCTACTTCTAGGTCATGGTTTCTCAATATTGATTTTAGCAATATTGACATTTTGGACCTAATAATTCTGTTGTACAGGGCCGTGTTGTGAAAGTTTAGCAGCATCCCTGGCTTCTACTTACTAGATCCCAGTACCACTCCCTTCCACCCCAACTATGACAATCAAAAATGTCTCTAGACATTACCAAACATCTCCTTGGCAGAAAAAACACCCTGGCTGAAAACTGCTGGTTTAGATCAATAAAACAAGGTAGATAGTGTTCAGTCTTGAGGAGCAACTTCCTAGCACATTGATCACATTACTACATTGTAAATGTGGCCTCTTGATGAAAAATGAGCATGATGGTAAACTGTTCTGTCACAATAGTGGTGATGGGCAGGGCCCAACCCAAGACTCACTGACATGATGGGACACTTCTGATCCAGGTGTCAGGAATAGGTGTCTATCCATTGTAAGCAAGAGCTCGGAGTTCATATTTAGCTGAATTTTGTTTCAAGGCCTACAACATGAAACAATACTTGCCTTAAGGCCATTCCTTCAAATATTTCAGTGGACTTTGATGAAGTTCCACTATAACTTGCTTTAGCATGTGCACAAGTTACCTGCTACCTGCTCAAGCTACCTGCTCTACTTTGAATTCTGAGAAGAGTTATCGCCAAGTAAAATGGTGAAAACCTTAGCACAAACTGGTGATGTGATTGGAGCTTAAGTCTTTAAACATCCCAAGAGAGAACATAATTATTCTCATTGTCTCAATAGCTTGAGAACAACTTAATCTATGCCTTTTTCTGGCCAAGAACATGTGAAAGTGTCCTTACAATTTCATAATATTGAACCACAGTTTTAGTTCTAGATTATTCCCAGGATGACCATTTACTTGTATTCTTTTCTGGCTGCTAAATACTGTCTTTTGTCTCTTTTATCTCATGAGTTGTAGGAAAGGAAAATTGAGATTGTACTTTTTATTCT